AAGGAGTCCCTTCATCATTTGTAGCCCCAATGAATTGTAGCAAGCAAGGATGGCGGCACCTTGATGCAATGTTCATTTCCCGCTCAAACAAACGTCTGTTATGCGGAGAAAGTATCAATTCATGGATCTGCTTCACAGCCACTTTGCAGCCTCTAAATTTTCCCATCAGGACTGTGCCCCACCCACCCACGCCAAGACAGGTATCTGTCATGAGAATCTCATCCCGTGATATAACCCAATCACGGGACACTTTTTGTTTGCACTCATCCAGTGTTTGTTGAATTGTGGATAAAGTTTGTTCCAGCTCATTCACATGTTCATCTTTGATTCTCAATTCTCCCTCCAAGCAGGCAATTCTTTGTTCAGCTTTTTCTTTTGCTTGCTTTGTGTTCTCAAGTTCCTCTTGAAGGCCCTCTAGCTCTGTTACAAGGTCATTTCTTTCTTCCTCCCATTTACTTTTCTCAAATTGAAATTTTTCATCTAAATGCTGATGTCCAGAGGAAGCATCTGTAATTTATCAAATCAATTGAAATTTACTCACTTTAATCTCACTTTATAATAACTACATGATCTCTTGGAGAACATCCTCTTTTTAGCCCATTAACTCCCATTAACTATTAATTCTCTCCTCTACCTACTACACATTTCCTTTTGAATTAGTTATGAGAACTTGGTGTTGGATCAAGATAGCAGCGTCTACCTGATAAGTTTGATTATTCTCATGACCTGTTTGCTGAATAATGTATGTGTATTATAGAGAGAAGTTTCATGTTAATCACTTTTGGGAGTTAAAGGGTTAAGAGGCTGCAGGTGAAACTACCGGTGAAATGAATGAGAAATGAGGGAACCAGCTCAGCCAGACAATTAAAATCTGATTACTAAAGCTACAAAGACACAGTTGGAGACTTAAGTGTAATGCTTCCCCCCCCCATGGTATCCAATAGTTCATTGCCAGCATTTTGGCAATATAGGAAATTCTTAATTGACCAAGCTTGTTTATTCAAGATGGCTGGACAGTGTCATTAGTTTTTTGTTTTTGTTTAATTTATTTCTTTATTTGTTTGCTTTTTTCTTGTTTGCCATTTTATCAACCCTTTGTACACCTAATCCGTCCATTAAAAAAAACAGTGACAACAACAACAACAAAAACTACAACAAAGCGTATAACCATCAGTCGTTACAGAACAAGCTTGGTTAATAAGAAGACAATTAAACAATTTTATTCTAAAAAGTACATGTTATCAACTGTAATTGCAATTATCAAATCTATCACTGTCACAATTTCACAAAATGACATTAAACATTATCTGTGGAAGAAAGGAGAAAATATCACAAAACCAGAGGAACACTTATACCTCTGAACCAGATGTAAAAACTCTTATAAATTACCTCAGATATAAATATGGAAGACTAAGTTACAAACCTAAGCTCAAATCTTGTTCCTTTCTGCTGAACTTTTGATCACCTAAAAACTGCATCCACTGTGGTGTAGTTGATGGTAGTGCCACAGACCCTGCCACATTACTAGGTGACCCTGCTAATAGTGGAAGAAGCCCCAGTGGTTTTGGACTACTTGGGCTGAGTGCTTTACTTCCAGAGTTTGAGGAACCACTGGTTACGAGTGAAGTGATACCATCAAGACTACTCGATCTCTGTGAAGTTTCTATTTGTAGATCAACTGGTGAATATGTGCTGGAGATTTCATTTACGTCAAGGGTCCCTGTTAAGTTTGATGGAGCTTGTACATCTAGTTTCTCATTTGCAATGTCACCAATTCTTCCCTCATAGAATTTGTCTGGAGAAGAAGCTGAAGGAAGAGAAGATTCTGTTTCCCTTGACTTTCTCCTCCAAGAAGGTCGTCTTGGTCGTCCCCTTTGAGAATCTGATGTGTCGGGTTTGTTCATGTCACGCCAACCTCTAGGCATTGTGGGTTTGTACTGTATATCTGTATCCTGATTTTCAGCTTGTACTGATATGTCACTCAAAGATAAACAAACCCTTGCAACTGTTCACAAACTACAGAGGAGAAGTTGACAAGGCAATGGTTAGCAGAAATCAATAATACCCAGGAGAGTCCACTTTTCTAGAAAGAGTTCATGGTACTTGAAAAATATTCACCAATTGATCTACAACCTCAGTATCAAGTGTTAGATAGAAACTAGGTCTTCACAATTTTACAAGACTTATGAGACAGAATTTCCAATATCAAACCAGGGGTTCTGGAGACACAGATTCCAATCCTTCTGGATTATTCCATTGTCTATTGCATTCAAAATGAATCACCCACAATCCTATGGACAAGTTCCCATATTATGCAGATTTAAGGACGACCAAAAAAAAAAAAAAAAAACCAGGAAAGATTTACCCTCATTAAATATAACCAGGTTTTCAATCTGTAATTTTTCCATTAAATCACTGACTATCAATATGTAGGACAAAGCAGTCTCTAAAAATTTGGGGTTTGGGTTTGCAGATGTTATTCTACTCATGAAACATCTCCACATTTCAGATTCCCAGCAGTTGACATATCTACGAACCCAATTTTAGAATGTGGGTTGTAGTTTGTAGAAACATATTGACCATGAAAGAGGTGGGAAAAAAAATTGAAGCAGGGGATTCCCCTACTCCCCCCACCCACTCCCCCCACTCCCGTTACAGTTCGCACACAACACCTGAGTTCGCCCTATGCCTCTTCAGAAAATGTCAGCCAAGTTCTGCCATTCGTTGGTATTTGATTTTACAAACTCGTAAACGTATCTCTTAAAACTTGAATAATTAATGCTACGCACATACATTCAAATAAAAATGTTGCTTTCTGAACCGGTGAACTCGATGTACACCCTAGGGAGAACTCGAAATTCAGGACATTCAAGGGACGAGCCGGAAAGGCGAGAACTGCAGATTAAAGTAAAAACTTGATACAAAATAACTGAAATGTAGAATTTTACGAAATATTTTAACCCCCCAAAAATTCCAAAAGTACATTAAGTGTGTAGACGATGAATATTTCAGAGTACCTAAAAGGTTGTTCATCCTAAACCAGCGCCATCTTGAATATTGTTATTTTCCTCCCCAGACTTCTCACGGACAATGTACACATAATGGCGGAAGGAGTGTTGAAGGCGGGTCCCAGCTAGTCTGTTGAAATTTTCGCGACGTTTCCTTTAGTCAAAGTATTTCAGAGCCTAGCTTTCATTTATTTTTCTCTTTGGGAGAGTTTAGATGGAAATAAGTATACGTTTTTTTCGCGAAATCACCAAGCCTTTTCTACTCCCACGGCTGCAACTTCATCGTGAAAGTATCCTGCCTCGTCATCGTTCAAATTTCATCATCATCTTCAACTGATCGTCGCTTGCCATGAAATAATATTTACAGTAAGGGTGTGGTGGTTTATTTCGAATTTTAAAAGCGCGGAAATAACCGTCAGAAAGATGGAAAAGAAGAGTAATTTCATTCTCCTTCGCGATTTGGAAGACCCTTCGACCCAAGATTCTAGTTTACTGTGGGGAATGTTGACGAATTATGTATACGGAACGCAACCTCCAGTAGCCTTGAAGGGCGAATTATTTGAAGCTCATCCAGTAGAAGAACAACCCACTGGAGACAGCGACAGAATTGCTTTACGTGGGCTGAAGCAGAAGTGTCTGGAGGTCGATTGTCTAAAAGAAGATTTACAAGTAATCACACCAGAAGACGCCCAAATTTTGTTGGCTGTTCAATCCTATAGTGAAAGATGTAACATTGTGAACGACAAGCAGGATCTTCTGAGGTGGGGTTTGACGGAGAATGAAGGATGTCATGTGCTTGTTTGGTTGGATGATTTGAAGAAGAATGTGGATGCAGTTGTTCATTACAAAGGCGCCCTTCCTCCTTATGATGGGATCATGTTTGGTGTTGAGATTGTGGTAAGTGCAGTTATGTCTCCATTTTTCTTCCATCAAGATCAGATCACCATTTCCAAACTGCATTTGATGTAGTTCCTCTGCTTTACTCCAATAGATTTTAGAATATTCTGTGATAGATTCCTGTTTGAATTGCTGCCCATGAGATCAATAAACCTATTTAGCTTGCACTATTTACCCATGTCAGGTAATGTGGAAATACTCACAAGAACTGTTTGTTTTTAAATTCCCCCTTTATTCACTTGCATACACATGATAATTTACAAAAGATAAAAACTGAAAATTCTCTTGAGGCCTGAAATGAGTAAACAAAACATGCAACCTAAAGAGATCTATTGATAGAGTACTGAGCTTGTTCTAAATGACTTTGCTCAGTCTCAGCAAGTACACATCAGTATATCATTGCAAAATTCTAACCTGACAATACAAGTAAAGTAACCAAACCAAAATACAGTGGTAAATGTGAAGAACAACTTCCTAAAAAAAACCTGTTGGTGGACAGTTTTAAACACCTGTCAGTGAACAGTAGGTAATCTGTCAGTGATATGTCAGTGAGTTGTTGATAACAATATTATTTTATTACCATATTTATCCTCCAAATGGATGGTACATCGGAAGGAAAATGTATTCTCTGAATTTTCTGCCAAATTTCGCACCAGTGTGTATGTGTGCATGTGTCAGTATACCAGTAAACAATATTTTATTGCATTGTGTCTCTTTTTTACTTTAGAATGTAGAAACTAAGTTATGTTTGTTAGTCTCCAAATATTTTTTGTGTCTGCTATGATAATTAAAATGGTCAAAACTTGGAATGTTGTCATAATTGGAGGGAGGGTAACTTTGTGTAAGAAGGACACCAGCCTCAGCATATGGGTGCAAAATCAGTCAATATTTCCTCTGTATTTCTGAGACCCAGTTTACTTTTTATACAGTCAATTCGACTTTTTATACAGTCAACTTTTTACTTTTAATAAGATCAATTTTTACTTCTTATATGGTCAACTTTTTACTTTTTATATCAGTCAATGTAAGATGTAGACTACGAACCAAGGTTAAAGTGCATACTGGGGGTAAAATGCAGACCAAAGACTGCAGACCAGGGGTAAAATGCAGTTTTTAATTACTATTTACAGAGCTTGCACTTTAAAAAATTTAACACAATATGGCCAATACAATGATTTTTAAGGTTTTCTTTAAAAATTTAAATGAACCATTTTTTAGCCTTTAATAAAGCTAGTTTGAGCAAATAGTTTTAGATAATACATGATTATTTAGGCATCACTTCAAAATAATTTTTCATTGTTCTTATTGATAACCAGGACCCCCGTTTTCAAAACAGAGGAACAACAGATGGAGTATTCAGATGTCAGAGGTACTTCAAATGTTCCCCTAGGGCTGGTTTGTTTGTGTCACTTGATAGAATCACTGCTTCTTTGGAAGAAACAGATCAGCAAGTGAAAGGTACAAAAAGATGGTAATATTTGAATTGGATGAAGTGAGAGAGTAGAGAGTAGCTAAGGGTATCTAGAGGTTGTGTGAAGTCAGAGAAAATATCCCTGACCTCCCCCCCTCCTTTGTCATGAAGGGACAGCCCTTTATCCTCTCAATCCCAGTTGTCACCCACAACATCAGGTCATTGTCAATTACAGCTCAAGGGAGGAGCTAATATTTAGATCTAGGAGACAGAAATGGTAGATAATATAATAATAATAATAATAATAATAATAATAATGATATTTGTAATAATGCCCTTTTAACTGCTGCACATTTCCTTAGAAATTGGCCATGAGAATTTGTTGTTTGATCAAGAAAAGAACTCCTACCTAATGAGTTTGAGTATTTTCACTACCTGTTTGCTGTATAATGTATGGATATTATAGGGAGAAATTATGCATTAATCACTTCTGGGAGTTAAAGGGTTAAATGAAACAACCTGGAAATCTTAACCAGTGAGAAGGGTAACTCTTTTTTTTTGTTTGTTTAATGTATTGATTCAGAAGACAACGACCAAGATGAATACACTTGCATAGGAGAAGGAGTGAAGAATGGTGGAGATGATTCTGGGATGGAAAGCTCAGGACACTCTCTGATTGAAGCTGAGCTTCTTCAAGGAAGGAATGACGCTTTAATTCTGGATGAAAATGACATGGATGAATCAGAAATTATTGACAATATGGAGGAATGTGACACTATCGAGCACGGCTCCGAGAGTCTTGAAAAGGGAGAGAAATCAAGTGAAGACGAAGCAGAGGACTTCAAACAGTTATATCTTCAGCAAAAGAAGCTATTGCAGGGGACGCAGTATCGTTTGAAAGAAAGCAATCTGAAGATTGTTAGCTTGCAAAAGCGCCTGGACGAAGAGGTTATACTCGGAGGGAAGTTAAGAGAGAAGTGTGATGCTTTGCTCAAGAGTTTAGCTGAAGAAGCACTTCACCGAGCCGAGGCAGAGAGTTTGTTAGAGGAAGAACGAGACAAGAGTCGTAAAATACAGAAACAGTTTGACCGCGAGTGGGCTGAATTTGAGAAGAGATTAATCGAAGAGCGCGCCATGAGATCAGATATTGAGCGACAATCAAAGGGCTTCATGAAACAATTGGAGGAAGAAAAAAGTTGTAAGATGGCGTTACAAAGAGAACTGGAGGCCTTGAAAGAAAGACTGAATTATCAGGAAAAGAACGGCCAGTACAATGAAGGACCACAAGATTCAGTGATATACGAGGAAAAGTGTGAAAGTGAAGCTCACACAGACCTGGAATCAAGTGACTGGATAATCAGCCGTGACGAAATTGAAGTATCCAACGGAAAAAGCTTGGGCACTGGTGGTTGGGGCGTGGTGAGGGAAGGAAAATTCCGCGGCTGTAGAGTGGCGGTAAAACAGATTCACGAACTGATTCTCTCCCCTCACAACAGACGTTTGTTTATGCGCGAGATGGAAATTGCCTCCAGGTGTCGGCATCCCTGTCTTCTTCAGTTCGTCGGGGCAACGAATGATGATGGCGTCCCGTTGTTTATCACAGAGCTGATGGACACCAGTTTAAGAGATCTTCTTGAGAAACAACCGCTCAACAAAGTAAACATTGTCACTATTGCGCTTGACGTGGCCAGGGCTCTGAACTATCTGCACCTGAACAAACCTCCCATCATTCACCGCGATGTGAGCAGTGCTAACGTATTGCTATGGCGACGAGACAACCAGTGGCGGGCCAAAGTGTGTGACTATGGTACTGCGAACTTCATGAGACACTGTAGGACCATAAACCCAGGGGCTATTGTATATTCTGCACCAGAGGCCCTCTCGTTAGAGCAGTCGCCAAAGGTTTGATAGTCTATTACTCGGTTGTATTTCACGGTGGGAGAGTGGGGTGGAACCCGACTCGTTCCGAGTCAAAAAAAGCTCGTGAATGATGAAAGCGAGTCACAGAGGCACCCAACGGAGAAGAAAAAGGCTGATTTTCCCCTTTCCAACGCGTGCTTGTCTCTAAATGAAGAGATAATAAGTAGCACATTGCCTTCGCAGTTCAACACTTTTTTATGTTAGAGTGCTTTCTTATTGAGTGTCACAAAACCACTCTAAACATTCAATCACGACTGCCAATCAAAAGAGACGAAAACCCTCTAGAAACCAATGAGAACTTAAAGGTATTAAATTTAAACTGTGCCAAGTGCGGGAAAATGCGAGTGATCAAGTTTTCGATTGGTTTCTGATGGGTTGAGATGCTGGCTCGACTAATCATGAAACTGGATCAACCCAAACCACTTCAATTCTCAATTAAGTTTGACCCGAAATTGAAAGTTGGTTGCCACATTTCTTAGTGTTTTGGGTTGATTGTAGCCCTATTAATTTCTTGACAGGAAAAGTCAGGTACATTTATTTTGAAATAGTTGCTCAGCGATTTTAATTTTCTTGACATTCCACAGATCGACGTTTACAGCTTCGGTTTGTTGCTCTGCGAAATGTGCATCCGGGAACTCCCCGTTCCTCGTCAGACTGAAGACCAGATCTCATTGATAAAAGATGAAGTCTTAAGAAACCTGGTGACAAGTTGCGCACAACAAGATCCCGACGAAAGACCGAAAATGGCCGAGGTAATCGGGAAACTGGAACAAATGGAACATACAAGGGATATATAGAATGTTATAACTGAGGTATTGTAAATTATTTAGGTAGGGTAGGGGGAGGGGAACTTGACGATGTGGAAATGGAAGAATAATTAATTTATTTTTGAACTAAATAGACTTCTTTCATGAGGTTTTGCAGTGGTTGTGGGTTAAAGAAGATGACGTGAACTTTAGAAATTTTTGATATACAGTTGAACACCGATAGCTCGAACTCTCGGTAACTCGAATTTCCCGCTAAATCGAAGCAAAACTGATTTCCCTTGGATTTGCCTCATACGTTTACTGTAATTTTAACCCCTATGACTCGAAACCCCGCTAACTCGAAGCGATTTTCATTTCCCTTCAGGTAATTTTCTTTGTAATTTTACCCTCGATAACTCGAAGTCGATTTCCACTTTTGCGGACTAATGAGCCATAACATTTTGCACCGGAATATTACATTTAATCTCGTGTATATATTATGACAAATTGACCTTTTTCGATATCACACATTTGTAGGTTCGTAAACAAACAGTTTTTACAGTTCTTCCCGGCAAAGAGAAATAATGCGTGTAATCTGTAATCGATCAAGTGTTTCTGGTCTTTTTGTGCAAACCTCCTATACCTCAAAACCCCTATAACTCGAAGTAATTGGCAATTCGAGTTACCGGGGTTCAACTGTATATGTATTTGCGAAATATTTAAAGTTACCCTTATTCTTTAGTACTACCATATGAAATGCATTAAAAAAAATTAACAAACAAACACAAAAGATAAAAAAGAGAAAAAAATTCTAAACGGAAAAGCTCAGGAACTAGATGAGGTGAAGCCTTTCTCGCTTAGAGGGTTATTTGTGCATTTGAGTCGGACGCCTGTGTCCGAGATGTAGATAGTCAAGTGCATTTCTACTAGGACACATATTTTACAGTACAATTCTTTGCCTTTGTCGTCTGAACTTTAAGTAACCCCTGAAAAATTTGATTTGGATATCAATGATAAAAAGTTTTTTCTTGTCTCGTGGCAAACTAATCATAATAATGTTTATTGAAAAAAATAAGTATCCTGGCAAAAAATACTTGGGGATTTTTAATAAAGTTAGGGGTAATGGGTGCATTCAATTATTTTAAACCGCTAGGGAAGAGCTGGTGGATTCTTAGGATCTTCTTAGATAGGATAGGAATTAAGGTTTCTCATAAGTTGATTGATTTTCATTTTTCAAGGATTTTCCTTTTCGTTGCGCTCGCAAGTAATTATTTTAGTAATGTCACATTGTTGGAATTCTTAGACAGTTTTCTTGTCTTTTTTTTCGGTAACATTTAAGGGCAAAATTGCTTTGTTACGACTGAATGAATCATGTGGATAATGCATAAAGTGTTAAAACGTATTAAATATTTTTGCGATGATAGCACAATGTTTGCAAGAAGACTGGGCAGTTTGTGAAGAACTATGCTGGTTTGTAAATTTATATCGAAATGTGATAATTAAAATTAGGCTGATGCGAACTGTATGTCTGAGACCGACGTGCACAAGACTCGTTCATTTTCATATTACCCGTGCCCAACCTGGGCCTGCTGGGTCAAAACACAATTGAAACTACTCTTGGGTCAGCTGCATACAACAACTATACGTTGCCATGGCAATTAAACCAGGAATGGAGCTAATCGTGCTTTGAACAGCTCAGTCCAGAAGACCAGGGCCCATTAGTCCGAACGCTGATCGGCGTTAACCCAGGGTTAAAATTTTATCCAAGTTTCTTTGTCCCTTTGTTTGAAAGTCTTTCTCGGATAATTTTCTCTCCTCTTTGATGGGCATCCAGTCATCAAATTGTAGATAATAATAATTGTACTGAAGCTCTCGAATCTTAAACTAGATTTCACACTAACCCTGAGTTATCTTAACCCAGCTTTGAACAACCAGGCCTCAGCCGTACCCTCCCCCCCCCAGGGTGAAACGGTTTCACTTTGGGGGGGGGAGGGTACGGCTACACATAGGCTACCGATCCTTACTGCGGGAGCTTATTATGGTTCCAGTAATATTCCCTTGGACACGATGCTAATCCATCTCAGGGTAACCCGACAAGTTCCCTCACAGACGTGACGCGGTGTTAGGTTACGCGAGGAACCGTTGGGAATATAAGAACAAGCTGTGGGGAATGGCGTGGGGAACGAAATATGGTCGATTTACAACGCTTAATACTCCGAAATATGAACATTTCACACGTAAGATTAAGAAAACTTCCTCTCTCTTTGTGTGTCCGTTGAAGTTTCTGGAGGTCTCTGCCGTTTTAAACTTGCTTTGCCATCACTGTTATTCCTGTCCCTTTGGGATGCCTGTGGTTCCCCTAATGATTCATTGTTCACATTTCCTGGGTGGGGACGGACAATGTCCCAATCGTGTGTCTTTTCCAACAACACACCACAATGAACCAGCCAGGCGTTGATTTAAATTCGGACTTATCAATCAGAATTAATTCCAGTGTTTCTTCCTAAGAGAATTGGTGACTCTTCAATTGCAGCTCATCGTATCCTCTAGTCTAGATCTCCGGTTTTTTTTTTTTTCTTTTTATCTTGTAAACGAGATCTTCCTCCGACTCGTCAGTGCCGATTTTCATCAGCGTGTATTCCGCCAAATCACCAATCGTAGGGCCTCACGTGGAAATAAAGTCAGAAAATCATAAGAAAATGAAACAAAACTAAAAAAATATTTGAGCATTACCATTTTAACAGTCAAGGCAGCTTGTATGTGGCCTCCTCAGCAGGCGTTATTTACAAAACAACTTCGGCGAGGAAGACTAGCTCAATTGTCAAACCCGAAAATTTTTTTGTCGCTTTTCCCAGTTCAGTTCAGACATTTTCTCTCATTTCAATTCATTCTTGTTATTACGGGAAAGTTGATTAGGAATTTGGCACAGACAAATTGAAGTAGCCCTTTGTTATGTCTTACAACTACGAGTCAGCACGACGCTTGGTCACGTGGATCACCGGTTACTAAGGACAACAAAAGCACTGCAAACCCTTCGTTCACAATTACTTGCTGATTTCTCGAAGTGTACTCAAACGTCAAAGTTTTCTCCAAACGATACAACTGAAAGATATCTTCATGGTGTTTGGGAAAAGCAAAACGGGATTCAATTTTGTTCACCAGGACCAGATCTGGTGGGTAACGTGTTTGCTACTCAATTTAAATTCTTCTTTAGTCGAACATTCGAACATGATCTGTAAACTGTAATATGGAGTTCATTGAAGTGCAGTTCTATAGACGATTTTAAAGTGTTAAGCTTCAAATTAATCGAGCTTTGTTGATTAATTTAAACAGGAAAGACCACATCGGCCACGAGCACAGTGCATCAAAACGTTGGCCCGAGAACTGGGGTTTTCTGATCGGACAGTACAAGATTGTAAGTTTTGCCTGTTTTTTATGTCAACAAAGAAATTTCTTTTGTGTAATGTGAAATATTAACCAAGCCTTGTAGCTTTTAATTAACATAGCTTGTCTCTGAGACGTTAAGAGTCTTCTTTATTCCTTTGAAAATATTGGGCTGTATTCGAATGTTTACTTGGACTCTATACGATTTCCATGGAATTAATGGTTGCGTGATGATTCAGACAGCTGTTCGGTTCATTTAAGTTTGTAGAGAGCAAAAATTCCGATGTGACAGTTCTTCATTTTCACTTTTTCCAAAAATGCCTTAAAATCAGGGAAATTAGGGATTTTTGTCCTTTCCAACCTTTTTGAAGGACTCAAATGAGATGCCATTAATGTCTTAATTGACGGGTTAAATCGATAGCAGGCAAGTTTAATGAACTTTCACGTAAGTAAACACAGCTTTCCTCTGTTGAACTTCACTGTTACAGTCGCTCATAGTAACAAACCAATAATAATAATTATAATTATTGGTGTGTGCATGTAGAAAATAAATTTAAGAATAACCTATGGCAACTCACTTCAAATTTTGTGCGAGTTACATGCATTTTATAATTTGTAAATATTATTTTATCTCCTCTAGTTGGCAAATGAAGATGAAAGTGTTGCAAATGGAGCGGCCGCAGTCAGAGTAAAGCAACGACGTGAGGCTCTAAAGCTACCACCCATTGACGCTAGTGTAGCGTCACAACTGTCAGTCGGCAAGTCAAATGCAAAATTTCCCACTAAGACATCTGAAGAGGTTGGTTGGAGATCAAGTCAACCATCTTGCAACTTGGAAAGATATGGACGATACACAAAATTCAAGTCATCGTTCCTTGGACAAATGAAATGGCCCCCAGAAGCAGTAGATTAGTAATTATTAATTGCTATTTTCACCTACACGCATGATAATGTTAGTGTTAAGTTTTCAAATGGGTTGTTGATTAAGCATCTCATGCATTGTACATGGCTTATTGTGCAATAGAGGCTATTTAATGGTTGTAGGCAACGGCCTGGTTTTTCTCAGGTTTCTCTCAGGTTTTTCTCAGGTTTCAACCCAAATAGTTATTAAATGCCATCAATGGCTTATGGGAGGTAGAATTTTCCAACTAGCAGGACACTTAAACTAAACTACTAAAATGTTTAAAAAATTTTTTCTTGTATTAACAAACTTAGTGGTAATTTATTTTGAAACATATCTTCTTACCATCAAGGCCAAGAGATTGGTAATTATTTTTTTAAATCTGACAATTGGCTACTCTATTGATGGCATTGTTACTTGGATTTATTGAGTGTTATTTATTTTAATACTCTCATTCTCTCATACGAATGTACTTCAATTATTTTTGACTAACTAAAATAGCTATGGTGTTATAGCAAAAATGTCTGATTGTAAAAAGACTTTTGGAAAACAGGGAAAATAATTTTTTTACATTTATGATTGAAGTGTTAACCCTTTAACTCCCAGAAGTGATTCACATGTAACTTCTCCCAACAATATCCAGCCACTATCAAGCAAACAGGTAATGAGAGTTGTCACATATTCAGGCAAAAGTTTTTATCTTGATGTAACACCAAATTCTTGCAACCAATTTACAAGGAAATATGTAGCAGCTAGAGGTGAGAATTTACAATCAGATCCTGGGAGTTAAAGGGTTAAACTGGTGTGGTAGTCAGGATTTTTTGCTGAAACAGTGCAAAAGAGGTGTTATGTGCGTGACAAACTTTGTTGTAGGTAGAGAACAAGAAATAAACACTAAATGGGTTTGTAAATTAACACTTTATTGAAGTCTTGTTGTAATTAAAAAAAAGAATTCCAAGAGTGAAATATTCTCTCTTCAAAGAATAATTTATTAAATTCATTCTTTGGTCTACATAGATTGACATGCTGTGCATGTGGGACAGGGAACAAGTTGCATCAATTGATACAACACTTACTATTAAAGGAGTTCATTTTAACTTCAATCCGTTTCTAGAAGACCCTCACTTCACACTTTGCTTTGTACCAAATAACAGGAAAACAAATGACAGCAATACATAAATTGTAGTCTAAAATAAATATAAATTGGAAAAAAGAGTTTACATACAGCATACATGCATGCAGGCCCTCAATATCAGCATTGCCAGATAAATGTTCCTATGTCTGTGGTAAGATTTGGGTCAAGTCAGAGTGAGGTTTCTAGGGGGTCTGGCAACACCAGACCCTTCCATCCTTAAGAGTAACAAGGTTCTAAATTCTCCTTACAATACCATCCCTGAATTAAAAAGTTTAAGTTATGAGAATAAAGGAAATGATCAGAAAGTACAAAGCTCTTGATGGTTTACAAATTCTCTGTAAGAACCTTGGAAATGTATAGGGAATGGTAAGGAGAATATGCTTGCTGATGCCAGGGTGTAAAGGAATAAGACCTAATAATTTACAGTGGGTGAAGAAACATTTGTGCTGAAGCATTAGCAATAAGGGCTTGCTTGAAGGTATTATTTACTGCAGTCATAACATTATTGCTTAAAACTATACAATGATAATGCTTATGTTTTGTCTCCTTCATTCACTCCTCATCCTCCCTCCCTGGCCTGAATATAGTACATGGAAAGATGAGGTGCAAAGCACCTTTAACTTTTTTTTATTTAAGTTTTCACACTTGGCAGAAAATCTGCCCTAGAGAGAAAAGCTGGCCATTTAGATATATAGGAGAAAAAAAATGAATTTGTAAATATACGTCACTAAGTGCCACTTCACCTTTACACAAAACCTGCAAATATTGTTATCAGGCACCAATGTGGAGCTATGTACTCCTTCACCTTAAGGAATATATTAATTTGGAAATTTGTTCTAGGGTTAATTTTGTAATTTTACTTTATTATATACATCAATATCTTACACAAATAATATATACATAGTATAAATTTAGTGTTAACTTATTATCTGCTGACTTTACACTGTTGAATCAGTCAGAACTTGATCCTTGAAGCTGTACTGTGATAATAACATCAGGGTCTGCTGTAATAACCAGTGATGCCTCATAGGACTTCCCAGGTTCAGTTGGTGAGAAATGCACTGGTAGTCGCACAAACCGTAAGGCTCTGTAAAAGTAATACAACATTCATAGTCTTCTTTAATTTGGAATTGTGCATTCCTATTGTGCATCCTTTCACAAGATCATTGCTAAGGCGATTCTCGATCATTCCATCAGAAAGCAAACATGGTGGCCTATTGTTTGTTTCGAATGTTCCTCTCTCACGTTCCAGTATTTAACTGTAGTGTTATTTTTCTTTAAGCAAAATAATTTTGGGTCCACTCTCACCACAGAAATAGTTAACTTGAGTTTAGAGGGCAAGGTTTAACTAAATGTTGACTCATTATGAGAAAAATATACCTGACTGAAAACTTTGAAATCTGAACAGAGAAAGGTGTCTTCATTGATGAGACCCGCACCTGTAGTATTAATAGAAATAGGTAAAGCAGATGAGCAAACATTATGTGGACTACTTTTGCCCTTGGTGGGCAGTGAAGGCTTTAAAATGAAAGAGAATAGAAATACATTCCATGCATACTAAAACTTTGTTGTGGATTTCAGCTAAACTCCTGCAAAATAAGGATTACAATTGGCTTTCTTGTGAGTAACAGATTACCAAAGGTAAGGCACACTCAAGGTCTTCACTCAGAGAATGATTAACAAATACATAGGAAGGCTCACCCCATATTGGTCATCTTTTGAGCCATTGCAGATTTTCAGCTGTGCTTCACTTGTTGCCCCTGCTGCTGTAACAGGAAATTTAAGCACATTTTCTTTAATGTAGAGCCCTTTCTTGACATTCTTGGGTGATCTTAAAAGAAACAAAAATTTGATGAGCTTGGTACTGCCACCTTCAAAAGAAATGAAAACAGCTCCTGCTGAAAATACCTCATTGGTTCTTTGATGGTAACTTTTTTTGATTTCGCCGGCAAGAGAGTGTCAATGTCTTCACTTGGTCCCTCAAAATCATCAGTTCTATCAACAGCCTAATTAGAGAGAGAAGCATTTCAATTTAATTAGAGTTACTTAGCCTTGTTTCTCATTTAATAAAGATGTATCAAATTATTTCCATAAATAACATAGTTATGCAACTTGAAAGCTTAATCAAGCCAGAAATTTTAAATTATGAATCAAGCAATTGCAACAATGTTTGACCAAACCAATTCATCAGTTATTTTACATAAAAGCTGTGTAAGTGATGACCCAAAAAGCAGAAAGTAACATTTAGTCAAAGGTTACATCAGTTACAAACTTTATGGTGGTTTGACCAACACTTTAATCAGACACAGAATTGGTGTGATTCAAATTTGGGAGGAGATGGATGCTTTTCATTTTGTCGCAAGCGCTGGACAAAGATAACTTCTGAAGCCTGTGAGGAATTGAACCTCAGGCCTTTGGATTAGCACTCTTTAGCCACTGAACCACAGACACTCTGTGGTGATATGGTGAGTTATGGGGAGTTCTCATACTAGCAGTAAACAAGTTCTCAAATGATTACTTTATCAGAGATTAGGATAATAATAACTAGCATCATGTTTCACAATCTACCTGGCCATGGAGGAAAATTTTCTGTTTTGATTTATTTGCATCAGATGTGGTCTAACAAAAAAGCACAAGAAATCATAGGTCATTAAAAAAATTTCTACCATCTGATTACTAGTAGGGAAATATCTGACCCACCAACCAACTCTTACCAAGAAGACTCATAAGAAGAAGCCCCTTGAACAATTCAGTCAAAACTCATGAAGACAAGTTTCTTCACAAGGACAGAGAAAAGCTAAGCTAAACAGCAGTGGTTACCAGGATTTCTAACCCAAGGTAGGTGGCAGGTACTGGTACAGAAAACAAAAGAGGCACTGCCTAGCTACTTTCGATTTGGACAGAAATAAATTATTTTCAGATGTCTTTTTTGCCCCTTCTATTCTCCTACAAGTGCCTCCTACTTTGAAACCCAAAAGTTATTACAATAATACCACCTCATTCTTGTCACTCACCATAAGATCCCAAGATTGCTCATATTCACCAGCATCTCTTGGCTGAAACTTAACAAAAATCTGAAGCAGAGAAACAGTAATTGACAACAAGTATTAATAATGAGGATCACACTTTTGCTCCTAAAAAAGAAAAGTTGATCATTAAAGACCCAGTTTTGACCAGTATGCATTACTTGCAGCATTGGTCATCAATCACCATTATATCAATGTTGATCATTCCAAAAGCTTTGGAGAAACAATACAAGTCTCCCTTTTGGGAAATCCACAACAAACCGAGAGGCATGCTATGCATAATGGCCAATACTGGGTCATTAAATGTGTTTTTTGTTGTTATAAAAATTCAAGGTAAGCTTTTTTTAAGTTTCCAGCATTTCTCTATCAGAAATGTCAAGTAGAGATATGTTGAAGGAAAACAACTTAAATCTTCTTTTAATTAGAAATTCAGATGTCTCTGTTTGTCTCTTTAAATCAACTTCGTTGCACTTTGGTAGCAATATAGTACACACAGCTCCACCAAGAGCAGGATTTTTTATTTAGCTTGAAATACCTTTGTTGTTCTTCCAGCCTGTATGGTTCCTTCTTGTTTTGCCATGCTGAAGGCAAGATATGTGGTTCTACAAATATTTCCAGTGTCATCCACCTATGGTGCAAACATTTTTTAATACCATCCTGCTTAATTTTTCAAGAAGAAATATCCATTTACATGGCTCTTGTATTTGTGCTAGAATATGATGTTGCTAACTAAATGATATTACAGTATCCAAGTGTACAAACCTTCACATAGGCTGGTGCCACTGAAGACAAGTTCCATGTCAAATTCTCTGATGCTGTGTTGGTGAGTGATATCTCTGAAGCTAAAAGTAAATAACAACAAATAAAATTCATTATGCAAAAAAAGAATTACTTCAATACAGCTAAACCTTTGCTAAAAATTTAACTCTCCAAGGCAGATACCTCTGATAGGTTGACACTACATTTAGGTACATCATATAGAGAAAATGACACAACTGACTGTGAAAATATTAATAACAGGAAAAAAAAAACTATTTATCTGAAAGTTTTGCTTTCTGTTTTGTTACATGTGGTTGTTGTGCTAGATTTCCAATCAAAACATTATGCAAAGAAAACATAGAGTCACAGAAGTATGAAAAATTTACCACCAGGATTGCTGGATCAGACCCCATGACATTTGGTGATTCCAAATTGTCATATTGAAAGAGATAGCTAGGAAACAAACTGACAGGACCATTTTTACTGCCAGTCATCAAGACTTGCTTATGGTCCCTACTAACTCATATTGTCATCTGCATAAAAACCTTTACCCTTAAATCAGATAAATCAACATTTATTGTAGCTAAATAGCCTTACACAACTCAATTGATAAAATTAATTAAAATGCTACTAGGAACTCAAGAATATTGCAGTTATATTACAGTTTTGTCAAATATTCATCCCAATGAAACATTAACAACATTGATCGAGACTCACTTGTAACAGTTCCAATCATTGTCCTCTCAAACACAATATCTTTGTTTTTTATTCTCAAGGGAGGCAAATGATTTGTTGGAAGTGGTGTGTTTCCAGTGACCATGGTGGGTATGGACTGAAAATTGGATGTACCAGATTGATGTGGTGAATTCTCTAAAATCCTTTCCTCTCTTATCTGTACTCTGATAGCCTGCATAACACATTAAAATGAGAACATATTATTTCAAAAGGTAAAATGGGTTTGCAGGTACTTCCCAGAAAAAAAGAAAAAGTCAGTACTAGGACATGGTTCTAGACAAGAACATGGGATAAAAGAGAGCAAAAGTAGAAATTGCATGTTATACATACATATAACCTTCTTCAACATCTATTCATTGTTCAGACATACTTAGAGAAGTCCAACTATTATAGACCCTTCTAAAACTCCCAACAGTGTTGCATGTAGGTTATATAAATGCTAATAACAAGAAACAAGCTGCATTCTTGTTAACACACAAAATCAAGTTTAATTTATCAATACCTGCTGTTTACCATCACACTTCAAATAAATTGTACCTCCCCAAGGAAGAGGAGTGGAAGAGCTTGAAAGATTTGACTTTGAACTAACCAACACTCTGGCCTGACTCCTAATAATGGAGAAAAAGAAATATTTGACAAAGGTTAGTGTTAGTGATGGGCTTTTTTCTTCAAGCATAAGCCATGTCAACAGAAGAAACAATAAAAATCCCATTAAGATACTTTTTTCCTACCTTGGTGGGATTTCTCCTCTTTCAGGTGTAATAATGATGGAGTGTGCAGGCCAAGTAAACTCAAATCTAAATTACAATAAACATGAAAATACTTTTAACATCAATACCACTCTAAAAAGTTCACTTCTTCATATAAATATTATTGGGCCACCTTGCATCTCTACAGAAGATATGTTATTTCAATCATCCGCTCAAATACTGAATTTCTAAACAAGAGCATAATAGAAAGTGACACCAGGTTTAAACCGGTCTGAGCTTATCCCAGTTCTAAAGGCATGAAGAGACTTGATGTATTGCTGCCTCCCCTATTTGAGAAACTACAACCAGCATCAAAATTAGCTGACACATCAAATTTGAAGAGTCCTTATTATGTGTAAAATAAAACTTCTTTCTCTGCCACACTATAAATCATTCACAAGACCCCACTCCCCTCCCCCATTCAATGTTGCCTGTATGTAGCTAAGGGTTCATGGAATCACAATATTGTTATGGGTGGGAGGAAGGGGAAAAAAGGATAAAATTGAAGTAATAAGGGTTGAAAAAGTCAATGTGTCAAAAATGTTGTTGCTGTTTGTAGACAACAAAGTTCATCACAGTATTTCAGTATTTCAGCAGATTTCCTTGACAATCTTTAATAATAAACATCTGTACCACTAGGTATAAAGGGGCATTGAAGATTTTAGCACTTTTCTCAAGTGCACATCACAATGATAATCCTTCAAGAGTTTGGACAAAGATTGTTGAATCCTTTCAAGAACATACACCAAAAGGCCTCTGCATACACACACACACAACTTGCTTATGTCTGGAATAATTTTGCATGGAACACTCACCCAATTGAACGGTCAGAAAAGTTTAATATCCTAAGTTGATCAGATCCTTTGCCACTCTTGTCATCTTCTAAAGATAAGGAAGAGTTTGGATGAAAAAACCATGACTGAGAGAATACAAACTGGGAGTTTTGTTTCTTTCCACACACAGCATGGCTATTTTGAGCAACTGATATCAATTATAAAATCAAAGTTGCAGACAGATTAATGAAAGGTCATGGCAATCCATCACATGGTATCAATAAAAATAATACCTTTTGGTATTAGCCAGTATTCACTTTCTTCACCAGACAATAGAAGACTTTTTAAACCTACAAGCTCTCACTTTGCATTAGGGTGTCATCATAATGCCATGTTAAGTAACCCTAAGAAAAAGCTTCACCCTTGTCTAGACTTGCAGCAAAACAAGTTTAAATGCACAAAAATGTGTTTTTTTTCCATCTCTAAGGACTTAATATAGCCACCGACTGATAATGGCTGATGCTCCAGCCCAGCACGTGTGTAATTATGGTAAGGTTACATTGTACACCACAGTTGGTAAAAGGATGCAATAGTGCCCAACTTACTTGAATTACAAGGTGACAAAGTAAGGAAGTCAGGTATAACTGTCCAAAATTCTGCTGCAAGATTCCCTGTTGAATAAACACTTTTTGTAAACCCTCACATCTAAAAAGATCACAACATGTACATGCACTAGCAGTAACCAATAAATTCTTGAGCTGGTATATGGAAAAAAGGCCTAAATGACTAGTGACAAAATGCTTAATTCTCCCTTGCATCAAGAGCACCTTATAACTCTTAAGTGTGAAGCCTTTAATGAGAAAACAACTTTTCACTCTTGCACAAATAAAAACTTAAGTTCACAAAAGAGACTTCCCACTTCAATTCACTTTGAAGGCAAAGTTTACCAGAACTATCTGTGACTCTATAACTTATCATCAATTAAATAAATAAAAACTTTGCAGGAAGTGAGTGGCCCTAATGATAACAAACTTTCATTCTGCGACACTTTACACTTACCATTAACTGGACTTGTTTCTTGGGACGTTACAGCCTGTTTATCAGAGACAGGTACAGTGTCCACAGACCTGTTGGGATCAGGTTTGTTGTTGGGACTGGATCCAGGTGGTGAACCAACCAAAGTCAACAGAACTCTGGACACACTACCCTGGAAAAAACTGTCCCAGCTTGCTACCTTGGGGTATTTTACATCTACCAAAAAGAAAGTTCATTTACATGAATGAATCATGAACGGAACTCTTGATAAAATAGATAAAAATTAAGAATTTCAGAAATACAGCACAACATTGGAGGTAATGGATTTCCACCATCCTCTAACCAATACAAGATTAGAGGCAGTCAAAAAAATAAATAAATAAAAGAAAATTTGAACCTGAAATTGCTTGCATGTAGTCAAATGACTAACACTGGCCATCAAAAAGGTGAAAAGGAGTGCCTGCTTTAAAGGTCAACTAGAGTTGTTGAGAACAAGACTAAATTCTCATCAGTAGAAGTTAAGTGTTCTTGTAAGGTGCCTGATATGCACAGCACCTTGCAGTGGCAGTTACTTGCAGGAGATTCTTGCTACAGATATTTTGAAGGGCAAATTTTGCTCTTCTTTTCATTTTATGTACAAGTATTCACCTACAGGCCCTGACTACAGATTTAAGGTGTCAAATTATACCTTCAACAAGTTTATCCTCATCTTGAAAAGCTGTGGTAAAGTTAATCCCTGTTAGAAGACTTCTCTCCATTATTTGAGACGAAGGCTGTAAAGGTTGTGTATGCAGATTCCTAGGAAACTCATTTTGTCAGAATTTTTATTTCAAAGGTGACACACTTGTCATAATCTGTCCCTTTACTGTTTTCTACTCTGGTGGGTGTAGGCTGAACAATTGACATCAACTTAGATAAGACAAAAATGCAACTAAAAGATAATTTAAGACAATTATTACATTGAGTCTTTTGACTCAAAAGTTCTACAAGGATATTACAGAAAATATAGTTGAGGAAAATAAATTAAAGAACTCTCAAACCTAGAGATATTTAACTTTTAGCTTTGCAGACCAACTTCATCTCAGTCAATAAAAATAAACGATTTCTAGTCTTTAAAAACCCATTGCTACTCACTTCTTGTATTGTTGTCTCAAAAATTCGTCTCCAGTATAGAAAGCCACAACAGCCACAGAGTTCACAGATGTGCGACAATTAATTGCATCCTTCTCAAGAGGTTGGTACTCAATTAACACAGCCTTATGAATGAAATAAACAGATTATAAAATTTATGTATGATTCACATTTTAAGTTGTTTGTCATCCATACAGTGGTTGTACAAAACATATACATACATGCTGTACACCGTAACTTAAAAGCACTTTCAGCTTACCCTTGAGGTCCTCTCAGAAAGGACAAAACTGTCTGGGTGAATTTTTAAGTGACTAGAAGGATACTTTTGAAGTGTATGGATATCTGAAAAAAAAAAAAAGAAAGGAAAACTGCGGTTGCTTGAAACATCTTTCAAACTGACATTTCTTTGTACAAATTTCTGCCCCTCCACTGAGAGTACCTGAATAACATATGGCTTTGACAAAAGCTGCCCTTGTGCCAGAATTTCTCACCACAACTTTGACAGAATTCTTCTTTCCCAGAGAAACCTACAAGTGAAATATATGTGGGTCAAATTACATTTAAATACTGCACACTCAAATTTAATCACATTACATAATTATTCTCACTGTACACAAAGACAAATTGTTTCTATGCCTTGGGCACAAGGAATTTCTTTTGAGACAACATCTAAACTCCCAAGTTGGAATTGTTACAAAATAATTGGTCCATGTATCAACTGCATATTCAATGAGATATGACTGTAAGGTTGGGAGAACACTTTAGGACCTAACATTATTCCCAGCTAAAAATCACACAACTCTTATACATAGTTCAAGCTCTCCAAACTTCCTGCATGCTTTATACATTGATGAATGCTCAGATGCATAAGTAAAACATTAATTTATTTTTTTTCAAATGCCCTTGATGTCATGCTACAAAATCAACATTATAGCTTCTTAAAGCCTCCCTCAAATTTAGTCTTGATTGAATGCAACACTGAAACAGGTTTGGTGATCTCATTGGTCTGTTAATTTATTGAAATTAAGATACCAAAGGCCATCTTGAGGCAGAGCCTTAAAAGATCAGTTGCTAAGATTCAGAGCCACCTTTATAAACGCAATAAGACATTATGATGTTATTAAAGCCGGCAATCATAGAGACAGGTCCAGGTGCAGCCTCAGTTACAGTACCTTTTTTAACTTCTCAAGAACCATAAGAAATACAATACAATACAATACAATAAAATACAATAACAATTACTTTACCTCTCCAATGTTGGTGACATATCCTTCACTCAACTGTCTAATATCGACCAGCACCAGCTGACTTGTTCCACCACAGCCATACAAAGGTATCTGACAACAACAAGAATCTCAGGTCATTCTAAAAGTAAAGCCAGGTTTTCCTCTCCTTATTCTAATGCTTTTAAAGATGCCATGAATACGTATTTTCTCTCAACAAGATCAAAATAAGCAGAGGCATTCTTTCAAAACATATTCAAGAAACTTTTGGATATAGCAGCAAAATTAATGCATGGAGTCATTATTTGGACACAAAGCAATTCAAAACAAATAATAATAATAATAATAATAATAATAATAATAATAATAATAACAATAACAATAATGATAATGATAATGATAACACTAACAAATGTATAACAAAAGGTTGGTCACCTTGGACTTTGTTTTTCCAGCAAGGGATTTGATGACCAGAGAACTGGAGATGAGACCCATGGATGATGGTGAAAAGCTTACATGGACAGGAAGTTCCTTCTGTCAATATAATGCACAAATCACATTCAGATAATGGCTACCACATAATAATACAATTGCGATGAAACTCTGTTGATCAATTATTCAAACTGACCTTGGGCTCAAGAGTAGCCTGAGGGTGCTCTGGGCTTCCACCATGTGAGCTAAACATGGGTTGTATCTGGAACCAAAAAAAAAAACATTTTTTATATAGCAGTACTCAAGGTTGGCTGTTACAAGGAAAGAGACACAGGTGAGATGGGGACCTATTGGCTTGTGCCCTAGACTGTGGATTGGAATTTCCAGGTTTAAGTGTTTGCTAGGTCCTCCATGTTGTGTACTCAGGAAGATACTTTACTCTTATGGCAACTCTTTCCAGACAGGAACATTTTAATTGGTACTGGCAAATTGAAAGTGAAACTTGGCAAAATTCAAAGCAGTAAAACTGCAATGGACTAAGATCCTGGAGTTGCAAATACTCTTGGTCACTTCATTCTTCTTGGACATTTAAAGAGAATTTTGGAAAAGTTGTCTATTCTTTAAAACCTCAAAATGCAGTGTCATAATTTCAACTTTACTTTTTACCACTGTCAGTACAAGTTATGCTGCTTGATGAGATGCATAAGAAACATGTGAAAAGAAAAAAATGTGAGTCATGCAATACTTAAATTTGTTTTGTAAGATGAGGTGTACCACAGCTCATTTGTTAAATTGCAAAGAGGGAAAACTTTGCTATATTCTGTCAAACAAACCTGATAATCTGAGTGGTTTCCCTCAATCATAAGTTGAAGTTTTACTGGGGTTGCAGAGCTTGTTTTAAGTATAACCTTCTGTTGCCTATTGAAGGGAGTAAAATAAAAACATATTCAAACACACCAGATGCCTCTTGACTTGTGAAAAAATAGTTACAATATCACACTTACACTTAAATAATAAAGATTTGATTATCTATGCTAAGCTTTCCATACTGTACACAACTTAAAGTACAGCCTGATCAAAAACTTCTAATGTTATGTCAATAGCAAGTACTCCCTTGATGAGATAGCTCTGTGAAGTTAATTCTTCTAAAATGACCCTGGTAACTGTAACAGTAACTGACATTTCATCAATCCAACTTTGATCTGTATTCCTACTCCATTGTCAAATAGAGAATCATAGTCAAACAAGTCCTTTTTGCAACCATCATCACCCAAAATCATATCACTCAGCACAACTTCACTAAAACTGGGTCATTTACAGTATGGCTGTAAAAATATGATAATACTCACTGAGACCATCCAAGTGCTACTCCACTCCAGCAGAGAACTGGTTTACTGCTTAATAAAGCAAACCTAGCAACAAGATGACATAAACAAATGAAATACCTTACAATTCAAACTGGGGATGTTTGCAAAGAATGATTGAAGTAACCTTCAAAGGTGAACTGTAATTAAAGAAATTGTAGGAACAGAAGCCTGAGTGAGAAAATCCAAACTTTGACAGATAGTGGTTGTGAACCACTATATACTGAGCTATAAAGCCATATGTCAGAAGCAAGGAAATTTGTGTTCATCCATTGCATCTGTTGAAAAATCTTACTGAGATCAAATAATTAACAAAGATGAAAAATGGAAGCAAGTAAAAAAAAATGTGAGGTCATACTTGTCATCCTCTTTTGGCAAAGCTGATCCCTTCAGTACTAATTCATACACTGGTCCATTTGGAACTGCCAGAATTACCAGGCTATGGGAAAAATGGGGGTATGTTACAGATAAATTGAAGAGTTTGGGTGCTAACCAAATGGTGCCTTCTTGATCTAAAATCAAAGTTTCCTTGTCAGTCATTCTGCATTGTTGAAAGACTGGTACTTACAAGTAACAGTATTTCTTGCACAAGTGTACTTGGGAAAATAAGTTTGAGAGGTCCCACAGAACTGTTCACAGTTTTGAATGATTTTAAAGCAAATCCCAAATCATTGACTCTTAAGTTACTAAAAACAGCTAGATTTGTGCATCATGACTGAGAACCAAATATTTTCCCCTCCAACCTAACTGAAATCATATGACAATCATCCCAGGCTTACTTTTTCTTCTCTCCTTCTTTTAGCTTGCATCTCATTGGGTTGTACAGCTTTGTATGACCTTTCTCATGCTATTTTGTTTGGCCATCATAAATATATACTGTAATATGTAGGAGGGATTTTTGTCTTCAATTTAATGGGAGGCCTGTGGGGGTCATATCAAAAACAAAAGAGTACATACCTTTCCACATGTTTATCTCCTTCAGTGGGTTGGAACACGACTTGAACCTCGGACTCCTTGAAAACAACGAGATGCAACTCCAAATAAGAATCACTACGACACTGTCAAATTTTCATTTTTCATAATAATTGTTTTTCAACAACATTTTTTCTGCTTCTTATTCCAATTGTAGTTTATAGTTATTGAAAATTCAGAATTTCTTACCTCTTCAGGTTTTACCCGTAACTGAGCAGGTTTAACCGAGAATTGTTTAGAGTCTCCTTCAATTCTAAGATTCACTTTAGCTGTAATGTTGCCAGCATTCTTGACAGGAATGGTACAACTTGTGCTCTTCCCCACTGGACTTTTTAGAGTCACCACCTATAGAATTCAATTAATTCATTGACAAAACAAGAAGGGTGAGGAAATTTGTAGACTACACTGGACAGATCAGTTTTAGTTTACTGTTCAAGAGGCCCTGATAAGATCAGAGGCAATTGGACTAGTCTCACTTTGTTGTGGCTTGTTCATTGGTTGATGGCTCTTCTCTTCTCAACAACATAGAATTACTTAGATCTAGAAAACAACAATGCAATCTCTATAAAATTTTAAAACTGTTTTCAGGTCATCAAGTAGTCTCAGAGGAGAGAAATAACATTGTCAGTAAAAGCTGTTACAATCTGAGTTAAAGTCATCATTACAGTCAATTTCAGTGTCTACTGACAATTTTTTCATCTTTAGACAGACTAAAAACAGTCAGATGTTATATGTTTAAAGGTTACACACATACCTGAAGTTTATGTGGAGTATGTAGTCTTACAATTCCCTCAATGGCTTTCAGAGCAATACTGGAAATAGTCAGGCCTATGGTCATAATTAAGAGTATGTGAGCATAAAAGTACAAGAAAACTGCTCTTAAGTGAACAAGTGGATAAAGTCTAAAGTAAAACACACAGAGAGAGAAAATAAATTGAAAGGAAAATTGCCATGAACAATACATATGTCAATTTAAGTTCCAGTGCAATAAACCAAAAGTTTGCAGTTAAAATAATCCAACACTATTTTTTCAAACCTTGCTGTGCACTGTCAATTTCTACATCAAGCCGTGCTGTGTACTCAGTTGCAGGTCCAACTGATGTGGGACCTAAAATGAACAAAAATTAACTTTCCTTGAATTGAAATATAGCATGTACCAAAATAAAAATTGCACTTGAAATCATATTTTTACCTATGCTTATTATCAACATTATTACTGGAAGTCCAGTAAAATCAAAAGCATTTCTGACCAAGCACAGGCATCACTTTGAAAGAAGTGCCTTGCTCAATTTCAGTCACTAGTACAGTTTAGCTTTCCTTTTCACTCACTCTTAATGCTCATGTTTGGAGACTGAAACAGAAGCCAGACAACAGTGGGCTCTACCTTGGAAGTCTGTGGAAGTTAATTATTGAGTATTTTCAGATGACTGATATCTAAACAATAGCTAAAAAAATATAAAAAGTTGATAAAACAGTTAGTTGCACCAATTTGAGTTCTACACACAAAATTGTAAACTTTTTGCCAGGAATGCATTTTTTTCAAAGAATCAGAAAAAATACAGCTGTATTAAAAGATTTTGCAATGACTACCACAGTCTGAAAAATCTTTTCTTATTTGTTTCCTAATTGTAATGCACGGGCAGAAGAGAGTTCTAGTGAGACATTTGTAGCATCACAATCTGCCTTCACTATATGAAGAAACTTTGCAAAAAGAGTGTGCAGAGCAAACTATAGACTGATATAAAGGTTCCAAAAAACCTGAAAAATAACTTGATCTTAAATGACATTCATTGAGCTTCAAGTATTTCAAATTTCCATATACACAATCAATCCACATTGCACCCACCAATTCTTTCCGTCCCTTTATAAACAGAGTGTGGATAGTTAATGCTGATCCCTTAGCCCCAGCAGAGGCAGGTCCTCTGACCACATCTGTCTTTGGCATGAAATCCGCATCAGCAAATGCAAAACAGTTTAGTGAGCTGCTATTCTGTTTGATTAAAAGCAAAAAACAGTAAATGCATGGCATATGAAAACCAAACATGATTTAATATGGAAAGAAACCTTCCTGTCTCAAAAGGTTACAGTACAAGGAGCATTGAGATGTGAAATAAAAATAACCCCTCCCCTTTTAATTACTGTAAAAGGAAATGTCCCTTAATAAACCAAATGTTTGTTGAATAATCTTTCAAAGGAACTGCCCTATTCGGCATTAAGTCAGACAATAATTAATTACTTGTAAAAAGAAAAAATTCCATAGTAATTGGTTAATGTACAGGTTAAGGACTTGATGTAAAATAACTTTCACTGGTAAGAGACCACATAATTGGCCTTGGACATATTTTCACCACCCGTTAGGTTGATTGTTTTTAAATAATAGTGACAAACAGTGACAACACTTTTTTACAATGATACTAGCATAAAAAATAATTGAGTGGCTAACTTACTGCAGATATAATGATTCTGATAGGCACTTGGGCTCTCCCTCTGTTAACAAGATGAATTGGTCGGCATTGCTTGGCCCCACAAGAAACTTCACCAAAGAAAATAGAGTTTTCATCCTCAAGAACAACCTAATTATCAAGTTTAAAAAAACTTTAACAATAACACACTATGCATCCAACAATCAAAAGGAGCAGGAAACCTTAAATGCCTTCCATTGAGTAGCTTATCACCAAATCAACAAGCCTAAAAATGTGCACAGAAACAACTTGCTTTATACAGATCCACAATAGATTTGAGCTGCTAAAAGTGACTGATTCTTTACATTGTTCTTCATACCTCTACTTGAGGTTCTTCAGCAACAACTTCTAAGGCCAACACTGGTCCCACACTATGCGTTACTTGTTGTACTTCACACACAACAGGGAATGAATAAACTTGCAGCTGTGTAGTGAGTGTGCCAGCTTCTTTAGGCTCAATGCTTAACTAACAAAGAGGCAAAAAAAAGTGCTCTTTTTCTAAAAATTTAATATTGGACCATTGTGTAGCACAATCAGACACTTACACCTTATTGTCCCTGTAATTATGTATAATTTAAATTGGTCAACTAATCAAGGTAATTGCCATTCAATTGTCTTAAAATGTTCTTATATCAGCCTGCTAATAAAGATTAATATTCAAGAATCAAAACCAATTTTTTTCTTTGTGTGTGTGTTACATACCTCAAAATTGGGGTCCAACATTGCCTATACTCCGTTCAGACACTAACCTTGATATTCTCTGTGGTATGTGGACCAATGATAGCTTTCAGCTGGTGAGAAAATGCACTACTGCTACTTGGTACCTGCATGTTAGAGAAAAGGGCAGTTAGGCAACTAAAAGCGAGAAAGGAACAAATGACGAGAGAAAAAATTTTTTTTCTGCCTTGTTACAAGCTTGGGACAAAGAAAAAAACTGTCAGATGTTGGACCTTAGGATTCTGGGCTCTGATGCTTAACCATGGAGCCACAGACACAGTACAGTGAACTACGTCATAACTAGTTTCATCAGTGATACAAGTTCTGCTTTTACATCCATGAGGGCTTTAATCTTTTTTCCATGGTCCAATGCACTAACCCTTTTTGCCAGTTCATCTCCCACTGAGAAGATTGTTAAACATTTTACTTCAAATAGAGCTCTTGTCCTAGGTTTGAAGCAGTCATCACAAAACAATGCACAATTAAATGTCTTTATAGCACTTACCTGGACCCCGTTGACGGTGGATAAGATAGAGTGTATTTCACAATGCATCCATCGGCTACTGCTGTTATGCAAAGGAATGACCGTTTCTGTCAAGACACCCACACAGCAAAACGAAGGAATCTTTATCTCCCCTGGTATAATCAGCTGCGATGGCGATTGTAGCATTCTCTCTCGTGAAAATTCAGGTCTTACTTGCAAAAGTCCATTAGGATCATGTTGGAAAGAAGGTTGGTGGAAAGGTAAGGAAGCAGGTATCTTTGGTTGTGTGAATGTAGCTGGCAACCCAGAAATGTTTGACGGGTTAGATTGAAATTGTAAAGGAAGTTGATGGGTGGGTTCATATTGACTATTACTACTATGAGGAATGTTGACATCAACAGATTGGACATAGGTTGGTGTTAAACTTGATGGTTTTGGTCCCATTGACGCAGAAACAGTATGAACAAGAGGAACTTGACCATGTAAAGTGTTAATTAAGCCATGTCCATGACCTGGATACATGGCTGACCCAACAGGAGCCATCCTTGGACCATACCCAACTGGTGCTGTATGTGACAATGGGCCATGCGTCTGAATACTTAAACCATTTCCTGGATAAATAGGCCCTGCCAAGCCTGGTAAACCAATGGAACCATTGATGTTAACCCCAGGATACAAATGTGATATTGTCCCTTGATTCACAAGTGGAACAATTCCTTGAGAAGTGCTAAATGGAATACTGAGTGGTGAACTATTGTGATTGGTTAAACTTGCAGGCTGATGCCCATGCATCAACAAAGATGATGGCAGTCCTTCATTCAAGTTGCTAGTTTGAACAGCTACTTTTACATTATCATTTGCAGTAACACGAGTCATAAGTCCTACAGTTGCATTGGTGCCACTAAGTTGGCTAGCATAATTTTGCACATTAGCAGCCCAACGAGAGTCCTCCCTTGTCTTGTACCAACAACTTGGGGTTGCTTCTGGCCAAGAATGTCTAGTGGTGGTAACATCCTCAGAGAGTGAGGTAGTCATGCTTCCAACAGCACTATCTGACGTCTCAAGTCGTTGCCTAGGTGATGAGGATTCTGACTGCCACATAGTGCTTTCTTGGATTAAAGGATGAAGTTGCCTAGTTGCCATGGGAGGATGAGAAAAATTATCATGGTCTTCATCCTTAGGAAGTGAGCGGTTTAGTCTTTGTTCAATTTCATGTGTTCTATGTTTCCTAGGATCAACCATAGGAGCATTAAGATGTTGATTACTATCCTCAGAAGGTTTTCGAAGTGTGTATGTTTCACCAAATTGAGGAATAACATGTTGAAAGTTGCCCATTTCAGAGGAAGACATGGATTCCTGTTCTGATGGAAAATCTTTGGAATCAAGCTCCTTCATACTAAGGGGGATCATGGATGGTGAATCATGAGAACGAAAAACACTATCCTCAATTGAGTAACTTGCCAGTTTGTCTAGAGAGTCAGAATTGTTATTAGGCACAATCCCTTGAGCCCTTCCTGGTGAGTATGCTAACTTTTCAGGTGAGGACTTTGTTTGAGGACTACTGGAGGACACAGGATTGAAGTCAGATGTTCTAGAACTGGGTGATATTGATTCAACTTCAGAAGATGAAATACGTTTCCTTCTCAACTTGGCCTTGGACTTTTTCTTTTCTACTGCTGTTAATTTTTTCCTTATTTCATCTGGATCCTCATTTATGGCTTTTGCAATAAATTGAGTCATCTTTTCTAGTGATGAAGCAGAACTTACATCCCCAACAGATGATCTCCTTGGAGACCCTATTCTACTGGAGTGTATGTACAACTCTTGAAGTTCCTGCTGAAGGCCCAGTTCTGATCTTGAAGATACATCAAGTGGATTAGTTGAGACAATTTGACTCTCTTCCTTTTCCTTTCTGTGTAATCGTTTCCCCTCCTTGGGTTTAGATCTAATATCACCAGCAATATTTTTACTGGGTTGTACACTTTGAGAACTGTCTATCTTGACGACACTCTTGATACTTCCTTTACTGCTACTGCTCTGTGAGCTAGTCTGACTTGCTGTTCTACTTCTACTTTTGAAGGTAGAATCAACTTTGAACTGCTCATCAAGCTTCATCTTCTGCATTTCCAAAGACAACTCTTCTGGACCTGCAGCAGTCAACTCCTGGGATTTGGAGGTTCCAGGACCACTTCCTGCTTCTAAACTTTCTTCTTTCTTCAACTGATCGTGTTTCTGAGGTTTCTTAGCAACATGCTTGGGTTGCTGTTGCAATGCCTCTTTGATGCCTCCATCTGCAGATGTCCTATTTGAAAGAACATCAGGTGGATTGCTCTCTTGCATAAACTGATCAAATGGTGTAGAAGGCTTGCTGATCATTCTCACTGGTGGCTGTGGGGAGGGGGTCAGTATTGGTTTGTCATCTCCAAAATGAGGCTGAGGTGGTAAATGAACAAAAGAGTGGGATTAATGATTAACCAATATCATAATAATCATTTCTCTATAAAGGTTTGTACACAAGAATGGCTTGCATAGCTTCCAAATCAGAATATTTTTATTTCTGTTGCAGTGCAACTAGGGGTATAACTGCCTCACAAGGATGGGATGCAATTCCATTGCAGATTACCTTCTACATGTTTTTAGAATTGTTTTAGATTCATGACTTTCTTTTGCTTGTTCAAACCAAACTTTAACCTTCTACTTCTGTTTGGTTGTTGAGCAACTACAAACCTCAAAACTTAAAACTTACCCTGGGTCTGTCAGGACTAGTTCTAGACAATGAACCAAGCTCTCCCGATCCTGCTGCAAGAAATGCACCAAATGAAATACGCACCTCTCCCAAGCCACTAGGATCATTTATACCCACAACCTGGAGCAGGGATGGTCTTGTGAGAAAGTGACTCTCAGGCACAGTCCAGTCGTGCAACTTAGTTATATCATTAATTTGAGTGTGAGACTGTAACAAACAAAACACACATAAATTAAACTTTAGTCTGATAACACTTTACTCAATAGAATAGAAATATCCAGGCTTGTATGGGAGTTGAACCCATGACCACTGTAACAGCAGTGCAGTGATCACCATTCTTATCTTCATTTATTTATCTGCGGGTCAAAGTGATATTAATGTATTCCATTTGAAAAATAGTTACATGTTATGCCTTGTCTTGTCATGTAATCTCCCTCTACCAAACTAAGTACATTAAGTGAAGTAATAGCAAAGATTTTCCAAGTTTTAAACCATCACTTTCAGGATGACGCCAACTGAAAAACCTTTGTTGTGCCAACAAATTTTACTTGCATGCAATTAAAATTAATTTAAAATTCCTGGGCTTGGAGTATCGATCCAGTTTTTGTGAAGGACTTTATCACAAAATGTCCTAATTCCCGTAAAGCCACAATTACTATTTACAGTGGTTGCAAATCTGCTTACTGGAATTTCAAGCTCATGCTCCCTGTTGAAACTCTCTTCACCTGCCGCAATAATTGCTTCTGCATCTCCTATAAAAGAGAGATAATGTCTCTTTCAAAAGAAGATTTGGTAGCTGGAATATTATTGGCACTGTCTATAGTACTGTGCAGTAACAGCTATCCCTAGTTTCAGTAGATTCTGCACAAATTTGGCCCCTTTTCATTGCAAATAAGGGCTTATTTTATTTCATTTTTAAATAGGAATTTTAAGGTTCAATGAATTCTTTCAAACAGATTCTTTTGTGTTCAAGAAAAACCTGACAGGTTGGTAAAGCAGCTTATCATAAGCTTAAATTTATTTTACTTTTGATAAAGTAGTGTTGAGCCATGAAGGCAAAGAGCATTGTCAGTTAGCATGGTCATATTGTCAAGACTGTTGGTGCTAGAAAGTAAATGCATTTCTAGAAGTTCAGACTTGTCAAGCCTCAAGAAAAAGTTTTGGTGTAGATTACCTTTTTGTAAATTTGCTCAGCTACATATATGGTAACAACCTTAGTTCAGTGATACAAAATTATCCCTATACCTTGCACCTCAAACCCAAAATCAGAGCCTGTCCATGAGAACCTTTTGCTTCCACCACCCAAAGGTTGATCTTCTTCAGAAACAGCCCCACCTTCACCAAAAGGCCATGGCTGTTGATCAATGGAGCCTACTTACAGAATAAAGACAGTTTGTCAACCAACAGTGATGGCAAGATGTCTGCACCTTTAAGGTGGTCCCAAAGCTGTTAATCTTTTACATGTATTTAATAGAATGTTTCATGAGGAACTTCAGAACTGACTTCCAACAGTTAGCCATAACTAGTTCAACAACTATTGGATAAATCTTTATCTGCTTGATAGTGATTTATCTTGATAGTAATGCATCCATCATTTCACAGGTTTATCATGAACAAACATATTGACCAGCTCCCAGTTGGCTTGTCAGCTTAGTTGGTAGAGCATTGCACCAGTATCACAGAGGTCATGGGTTCAAATAAGGCCTGAATTTTTTACTGGCCTTATTTTCACCACTTCTCAGGTAGTGTTCATTACTGCAAAGATTGCTTCCAAATTAAGTGATTTATCCAGTAGAGAGCATTATCCATCCTTCAAACAAACAGGGCCAGTTCTTTGGTTAAGGGTAACCACTGTGGATTTAAACCTTCAACCCCACCAAGAGAAACATAATTCATGCTGGACAAAGGGGTGACACCATGCTGAAAAGTCTGCATCATTCTTTACTTATTCCCTCTCAGTAGGCTAGAAACAAACCTTCAAATGGATTTGATCTCAGTATTGAGTCTTGCATTCCACCTGCACCATCAGGCCAAGGGCAAGAGGACATGTTATCAATTTCCCAAGGTGCTGCTGTTTGTTGGATAGAAGTATCATCGCCAATTCCTCCAGGAGTCAAGGTTCTGTCAGTAGGCAGATCAACACCATTTTGGCCACTTGATAGATCCACTAGCCCCTGGGAATTTCCTGCATTTTGGAACAACACAGTGAGCTTTCAGTTTGGGTAATTTTGTCCAACCCAGCAAAAACAGTTAAATTCTGGTGCAAGGGGGAATGGGCTTGTCACTTAAAATGTTTATACACTTCATTCACAGATCAAAGTAATTTGGCAGAAAGAAATTTATTTACTTTATTGGTAGCAATGCTCACATGGATATTGGTACTGGGAACAAGGTTGCATAGAGTTTAATGTTATTGTTGTTTGTCTTATACATGTAGATGTAATGAAGTTACTTCCCATACAGATGGCAACAATTTGATAGGACCCTGCTAGTATTCATTTGGTGACAAGGTTTACTTAAAACTGCCTAAAGACTAGCAGTATGGTGTTTAAACAGCAAGATCCACATTGGAAGTGACCATATCATAGAAAGAATTATTGTCCTTTCCTATTGTAAAGTCTCAAGGTATCCAGAATTACTTAATTCAGAGTAACTTTTAAGTTAACAATTTATTTTTTTACATTATACAAACATACTGTAATCAGTTCCCATAAGTCCAGCCACAGTAAAATTAGCATGATGTACACTTCCTAGAGTCTCTTGGGAGATCTAACAACACACCCAAATTTAGCATGTGTATGTCAAAGCATGCCAAGGTTGTACATTCATTACAAGACTTAAAAAACTTTTTCTACAAATATTTCACAAATAGCATTTAAGCTTCAATACCCTCTCTCCAAGTTGTTACTCCTGATGCCAAGGTTGTAGAAGGATCCCCATCACTTGAATGTTCTGTTCTAGCATGCTTGAGGAGAAATTAAAATGTTCTTACATGTAACAAAAGCTTAATAATTATACATGGTCATATATATATTGAAAAGTAGTCACTGTTTCAAGACAGTACATGTAGAGATGTACTGCTACTGAAGTCTGTAGGGTTCTGCTTTGCTTTTTGAGTGTTTGGAAGGAACAGCTTCATAACTTGACAATTTGTGTTGTCTTGTTTTTTTGTGGAAAATTATTTCATTATACCTGATTATTAACAACTAGTTGTCCAGTCACAGTAGATGGTCGCTGATTGCCTTGGAACACAACACCAGGTGTAGACCTCATTCTGTCTTCTTCTTCATCTCTGGGTGTTGACTGAAGTAAACAAAGAAAATTGTTTTTATTACCACCTATGTGGCCTTTTTACAGTTTAAAATAATCATTACATGTAATAGTTTTGTCACTGTTTAAAATTCTCAATTAGCTGCAACAAAAAGGACTTTCCTGGTTATAAGTCTTCAAACTCTAAGAATACAGCATGTATTGACATATTCATTAAATGTAAAAGTAGTGACTGTAAGGCTTCCGTAAGCTATGGAATTATATTTTGGCAAGTTATACAGTAATGCCATTCAAATTCCAGCTGCATATACCTTCCATAGCTTTGAACTGTCAATGGCTGAGTCCCCATTGATGAAAATGCTATTTCCAAACTTGATTGAGAAGTCAGGACTACTCTGATTAATTGAAGCAGACACAGCTGACCCATCACCATGCCAGCTTCCTGACCTCTGATCCGATTCTTGATTTGAATAACCTTCAAAAGCTGTTTCATTGGAAATGAGAGTCTGCATAGGAAACAAGAATGCAAAATATGGAGTTTGCATCATATTCCTTCTCCATTTAAAGAAAGTATAATTTGTGATGATCCTTAATCAGCATAAATTGTTATTTTGCCAGCACGTATCAGAGATCTGCATGGGTAGCATTTGCACTAAGTTAATTAGGGGTTTAGAGTTTGCAATTTTCAGTTAATAGAAGAATGAGGAACTCTTCAGTCAGCCCTCATCCTGCTTTGTTGTTGTCAAATATCATCATGTGAACACTAGATTATAATAACCATTTCATGGTGATCCTATTAAGAGTCTTTGACTTTATTTATCAATTGATAAAAAAGCATCAGTCCAGACATTTACCAAAGATACTCTAAAACACAAAGAGTGGCAGCAACGTTTTGATCAGGGTTACACATTACCCTTCTCCTCCACCTCATGGCTTTTAAGGATTTTTATGTGTGGCTTTAGCTGGTGCATCTGTTCTTTCTTTCAACCTTATAACCCCCAGAGGTGATTAACATGTAACTTCTCCTATTATATCCATACATTATCCCGCAAACAGGTAACGAGAATACCCAAACTTATCACGTAAAAAATGTGTTACCTTGACCTAATGCCAAATTCTCACACAGTATATCATAACTAACTGATTGCAGCTGGAGAGGAGAATTAATAATCAGATCTTGGATTTAAAGGGTTTAATTTACACAGTAAGATTTTAAGGCTAAATAAATGGAAGCTGCTTTTAAGGCTATTAAATAAATAGAAACTGCTTGGGCTTGCTTACACACCTTGAAATCATCACTCTTGGGTGTCCATGCCAAAAATTTAGCTTGGCAAAAACATTTCAAGCATTCACTAAGTCACTCACTTGAACCTAACCAAACTGTTCATTACTGTGAAGAGCTATAAAATGCAGGTAGGCAGAGTTGCCTCCACAAGCTTTACCTTATCCTCATCTTGAGAAGCATTATGGGTAGCATCAATGGTGGTAGGGTCAAAATTCAAGGACTCAGCATCCACAAGAGAGTTGCTTTGTTTGTTGCCCAGCATCTGATAAGTAAATAACATGACAAAGACAAATTTTACATATTTACTTGGAGTATGGGATGAAGAAAAAGCTCTGAGCCTCTGGAGAGGATTAAAAACCACACACATTCCTATTTTGACATTGATGCCTAACAATTGAGCTGACAGAAACTTGGCAATTAATTAAATAAACATGCATGCTATACCAGGCTAGGCTAGTCTAAGTTAAACTAGACTAGACTTCACCAGCAAGGCAAGATTTGGTCAGTTACCATTGAGCTAGCCTACTCATTGTGAATAAGACTTAAACAAATAAATTTTTCCTTAACAATTTCATCTTGACTACATTTCTTCTAGCCAAGAATAAAAGCAGCAAAAACACACCTGGGACATATGAAAAGAGCCATCTTCTGCCCATGCTGAACGAGGCGTGGCAGCATTGTGGCCCATTAGGTAACAAGACTCTAGAGCTGATGTTTCATTGTGGGTACCTGTGTTGTCACAATTCTGTGGCGCACCCTGTCAAATATCCAGAACATGAAAATTACAACAGGAGAGATGCTTAAATCACTGCTCAATCTATTGGAAATCAGTTGTTGCCAGTCAAAGGTAATAATTCTCTAAAACCACTTCAGTAACTACTAATAATTCAAAAGTGAGCAAAATACATGCACACCATTATGTAAATGACAATTTCCAATTGTCTATACTCCTGATGATCTATTATGAAAGTTCAAAACTGAACTGCAACTAGGGCACAGCTAAGCAGCAGTTGCACTGCAAATTTCAGGGTAAAAATGTAAAATTAGAGTATAAGTAAATATTTTGCATAAGCCAGGCCAAATGTCTGAAATTTAAAAGATCAGCAATGCAGAAGTGTGAGCCTGAATTTTGGACAGGAAAGTAATGCCCATTTCATTAAAAGAAAAAACAAACACAAACAAACAAGACATATCAACATAAAACAAATTAAAATAAAAGTTTTCCAAACCTTTAATTGAGGAGATCAAAATAATTAATTAATTGACCTATTGTAAATTGATAAAACTCCTTGAAGGGAAACAATACCTCTCTAACCATGGGAGTAGACGAAGCTTGGAAATGTAGAGAATGTGGCATAGTCACAGAATCATGTAACCTGTTTATCCAGTCTGGAGGACTAGGGGACAGGACAGGTGACCTTTCTGCAGCAGCGTCACCAACAGGACAGCCTCTCCCTGCTGTCAGACCATCACTGGCAGGTAAAGAGGAAGTGCCCTGGAAGTTTCCTCCCATGGATTGGTTGACAAATCCAAATGACATGATTGATGGAGGAAATGTTGAGGATGGTAAAGAGCTTGCAGTAGAGGATGCATACGCTGCTCCTGCAAATGATAAAACACATAACTGTTCACTTGCATGATGATACTCTATTTTGCTATTCCATAGATAGGGGTGACACAATGATTAAATAGTTATATACCAGACTCCAAACTGAAAGGTCTGTGTTCCAGCCCCAATCCAGTCTTTCTGTTGTGGTCTAGGGCAAGACATGTTACCCTCACAGTGCCTCTTTCCATTCACCAGTCAGAGTATGTAAGAGCACTGAAAAATGCTGGAGTAATTCTAGGCCTATGTGACATTACTTTTGAATGGCATTCCATCCTGAGAGGAGACCCATAGAGTAAAAATACTCTTGGTAGCTTTATGCAACAGAAACAAGAATACAGAAACTAGTACTTGTGGTCCACTCTATCAGCTCATAAGACTTGACCCTTCTAATTAATCACTTTCTTACCAGCTGGGCCACCATCATCTGTATCACTATTGTTACCACTGCTGCCGTCACCACCTCCACCTCCATCTCCTAGAATGTCAGGAAGAACATCAACACCCTCTGCTGATTGACGCAACTCTAAAAGGAGACAAAAGGTAGAATTCTGCTTGTACCTTAAAAGTGTGAATACTCAAAGCAAAAAACAGTATTTGAAGGTACATACTAACCTATTGCCTGTGTTTCTTGTCTGTTACTTGCATCTAAAGAAGGTCCATTTTGGAATTGCAAGTCTTCCACATCAGAGTTAGCACCTTCAAGACCAGGGCGTCCTCTACTATCATTACTTCCATCTCCTGCACCGTGTAGCAGTGGTGATGTGTCCTCATCATTATCCTCATGTCCATCACTTTCAGATCTGGAATCCATTCCACTCCCGAGCCCTCTGCTACTGTATTGTATTAAAAATAAAACAAAATGCAAAAACCATCACATAAACAACCAAGGAGAAGAAAAGAACCTAGTATGAAACCTGGCTTGGATTTATCTGCTGATTTGACAATGCAAAATGGCCACCATTAATTGTTTGAAAGCTGATGTTTCAAGCATTAGTCTTTTGTCAGAGCAAATGATGAAGGGCTTACACTCAAAATGTCAGCTTAGAAACTCTTTACAGTGGCCAATTTGCAACATCAACTCAGTTGATAAAAGCAAATTAATTTGTTTTACAACCCCACTCACATTATCTCTCTAGCATGGTAGCAAAAGACCAAGATACAATTGCAAAAAATCACTAGACAACATTCACATGTCCACGCAATACCTGCCAAAACTTTGACTGAAAATACTGTCAGGAAATGTCTGTGATTGAATGAAGCTGATACTGGATGTCAATGACACCCTATCAATCAGCTCTCCACCATCACCACTCCCTGCTCTCCTCTGTAACATCATATCAAGTTCTTCTGAAAAAAGACAAGAAACAAACAATCCCACAAGATGTTTTGATCAAAGTGTGAAAAAAAAGGTTACTGTACTTCTTCACCTATAAGCCAAGACCCTAAAAGTTAGAGATCTTCCAACAGACTCGTGTTGTCCAAAAAAAAAAAAGAAAAAGAAAAACCATTGGCTGTAAGCCAAAAGCAAAATTCTTGATTGTACCCAGTCATTTGAGTGAGCGAACCTCATGGAAAACATTGGGAAATGACTTGCTGACCACAAAAGCTAATGAATTAAAATAAACACAAAAGAAAAAAAGCAAATCAGTGAAGATGTAAATACTACCACATGACTGCAGAAACACAACAATACGTGGGAAGCAAAGAATCTGATTGGTGGTCAGAAATACATTGTTGTCATGACAATTTTAAAGCATGTCATGTAAAGAGCGCTGCAGTCATGGAATTTAAGGTCATTTTGAATTAACAGTACATTTTCAATTGAACTTTGTTTTTTAATTCTAAACCCTCGGCTATAAGCCAAACCCCATTTCTCATGAAAAAATATCCCAAACTTTTTGTCAAATACTGAAAAAATCACTCAGCTTATAGGTGAAGAAATATAGTACAACATAATTCCAGGACTATTCATTTTTTCCTCCATTTTTTATAATTGGCAACTGATTCAAGGATTTCAAAACTCTGCTGAGTTGACATAACAAAGCAACAATATACAAATCACCAACTCACTAATTACTTATCAGTTAGCACAATTCTCTGCATTGCTTCATCTAACATAAGTGCTTATTGCATCACTCTTCAAATGACCCTAATGTTGACCAAGCTCTTTGTTAGCCCTTTCCTATGTTTAAGAGCACTGATTCAACATATTTAATCACCTACAAATAATATCATTATATTATGTCTAATGTACCTCAAGCTAGTTATATCTGAGCAACTGCACTCTTAGCCTCATGAAAAGTTAAGTATGAATGTTGCAACCTTTTCTGTATTTATGAAATTCATAAAAACCTTTGAAAGAACTCAGTTAGCATGTACACCCTGGAGCACACAATTATGGACTTTCTTTCATTTAAATTATTGTTCAATTTCAAGCATGCCTCACTAGTTACCAGGTAATTCATATGATTTAGATTTGAATGACATCATTTTTTGTCACACATACAAAAAAAAGTGGCTTTGGGATTTTTGAGTCAAACTGGACTTGTATTTTTCCTTTGATATTAAAGGGTTTTTCAAATCAATTTTATGGATCTCGAGGGTTGTCAGGAAAATTGTTGGAACATGGAGAGCAAACTCATTAGATACCTTGACCATAGCTGTGTTGTAAAGGTTCCTCATTAACAGATTCCTGAAAATCATCATTTGCTTGTATGCTGTGAGAACTGAAAAACGTGTCTGGATCTTGACCTGAAGATAAACAAGTTAACCTGTGTTAACAGGTTAACTAAAGCATTGTGCAGCATATCTACATTATTTGAATTTGGTATTGGATCAACAAATCATTGCTAAATTTTATTTTTTGGCAATCTCATCACTTGTGTGTTTCATGAGGATTTCAAAATAAGCCAGTGACTGCCCAAGTTTGGCAGGCTACTTGATAACATATTGCCAGGTACTCTGGTAAAAATAATTCCCTTTGGACCCTTAATGAACTTTTGACAGTCACCTACTTTTGCAAAGTCTGACGCCTACTTCAAAGCATTTTGAAACCCCTGGTTTCATCCTGTTTTGGTCACTCATGGGAGTTGAAGGGTTAACATAACATAAATTGTTCTGATCGACTCTTTCATACCAGTATCTGGTCTTTCTTCTTCTAATTGCATCACTGTGTTCTTGTTAACAACTGGAGTCTGGTCTGAAGCTGGATGGAACCCATTAGTAAAGGGGATGTCCTCTCCTTCTTGCTGATTACCATCAACAGTATAGTGATTGAGTACAACTTCACCAAGGTCATTGCCATCTTCTTCATCACCAATTAAAGTTCTTTCCGACATCAGGGAGGCTTCTATAGAACCAGCTGGAGTCTGAAAATTGTCACTGAGGTCTATAAAGATAAATTAATGATTTTGTTAAATTCTATACTGTCTATAAATACACACTTTAGGAAGGGAGGAGTCGGGGAGGTATTAGAAGTTTCACAGTTACCATAAGTCCAATAAATCTCACACATGACTAGAAATTCTGAAAACTTACAGTAGCAAACTGTATTGATAAATTCAATCACAGAGAATATATTACAACAGCATACCTAAAACAGCATTTTGTAGAGCTGCAGTTGTCACTAAAGCTTTACCCAATTAAATCATAATTACCTGAGCCTGTAAACCTTGTGTCTATTATTCATTTATCTATTATTTAAATATAAACATTGTGGTTCAAATCAATTTTTGGTTTAAAAATTTCATACCATATACTTTTCATACCCATAGGAAAGTAAATTAAAAATCATGCTGCTCTAAAAAAGCATTAAAACAGAACATTTCTGATCATTCACTTACAAATAAAATCAATTTTTCAAAATCTTTTCTAAGAGTTCATTTATATTAACCTGGTAGTCCGTCTAACTGCAAAATTCCAAGTGAACTCTCATCTCCAGTCACACTTTTCCCACTCTCACTTGATGCTACAAAGCCTAAAAGCAAAGTCACACATCTGTTATTAAAAACCTTATCTTTTTTCCAACATATAACATTTTTTCACAGATTACCCTGTATTTGAGTTTTCAGCACTTGCATTCAAATTCAGGCCATCATATGTATCTCTGCACAATGCAAGCTCTTTAAAGCAACATTCTCAAGAAAGTTTCAAAAGAAGACAGGATTACATTACTTTCCCCTTAATATGCGAATATTTTAGGCCAAGAGATTGATCTACAAGGTTTGTACCATTTCCACTGAGAATATTTTAAACAGGTTCCCCTAATGTTTAACAGCACTCAGGTATACTCCTGAGTAGAGAAAGGCTCTGTGGAAGTGAAGTGTCCTGCCTAAAAACTCAACAGAATGACTCTGATCAGGAATCAAGCCTGCACCTCTCCACTCAAAGTTCAGTGTGCTTCTTATTAGCACATCATCTGGAATTTCAATAAATCTGGTTTCCAAAAGGCTACTGCAGCCTGTAAGACCTTTCACCGCTATCTGTTTAGCTTGTGGGCAGGCTTTGGTGTTTGGGTTTCATCTTATGGCACAGCTGCCTATAACATCATCCGCAGCTGCTTGTGGAAAATGTTATCAAAACCCTTGCATCATGTCCAGAATTCTCATTACTGTGATAGCTGTAATTCTTTATTGCTTAAATACTTAAACATACCAAGTGACTCTGCATTATGGATGGCCTCAAAGAACTCATTGATGTTGTCGGAGTTCAGTTCCTGCAATCCCAGGGATGACCTAAAGATTAGATAAAAAATAAAAGAGTCAAAGTGAGAGTTATTGATATGACAATGTTAACATTTTGTGCAAAACACTTGTGATGGGTGGAAGGATTCATTAACAAATGGGTGACCTAAGGGATTCATAAAGGCTTCCCCTGGGGTAGCCTCTGACAATGCATGGAGACAAGAACTTCAAACATATCAGTTGTACAATGAAATCTCCCTGTACAACTGATATGTTTTATACTAAACCAAATATAACAAGTTGATTACAGAGTCTGGTGATAATGAAAAACCCCAGTCTAAACCAATCAGAATTCAGAAAGTTTGCCTCATGTGTGGTTATAACAACAATCCGTATTTCTCAAATTTAATTAAGTTGCATTTCTCATGAGACTGTAAGATCGCAGGCTGTAATTACTGTAACTCATATTTGGAAAGATTTAAAGTGATATTTTCTTCAAAATTTGAAAAGGATAAGAAACTATGTTAAAATTTGCAGACAACTCAAATTATCTTTAGAGTGCAACAGGTGTGGAATAATGTAATTGATTATTAATTATTGCGTTTCAAATTCTCTTCTCTTTTAATTGTGTACGCGTTGTCAAATCAAACAGGTAATAGACAGTAGTACCGAATTCAAAGAGACTCGTCATGATGGGTTTAGATCCATCATGAAAAAATATTTGGCTTTAATTTAAAAAAAATGTTTTAAAACATACTTTAAAATATTCTGATGGCAAAGATTTGACTTTGATCGCGACTTCTATTCCATCGTTATGTTTAATTGCTGCTTGCAAGCCTAATTAATACCTAGGTGATAATGTCTACAGCTAACCAACATCAAAAACTTGGACACAATTCCGCTTAATCATACCAGGCTTGTCTGTGACCAGAAAAATTCACACAAAGTTCTCACTCGACTCAGCCTCACGAAGAAGAGAAATATACAAGATTTTAAAAAATCTGTAGACTGGTATCGTAATCAAATCGATCGTTAACTTACTGCTCAGTAGCACTTGACTCTTTCCATTTTTCTACAGAACCATCCGTTTGACCCACATTTTCTCCAGTCAAAGACGTTCCAAGATCAGTGTTGATGTCTTTGTTCGGCACAATTTCAGCGAAAGATGCTTCGCTGCACTCACTTGCGTCAAAATCCGAAAAAGACTCGAGCCCACTGACATGAGAAGGTGCAACAATGTCGCTAAACGCAAAGGAATCTTGCGAAAAGTTTAAATCCATTACTTCCTTCTTTCTAAAGAATCAAACTCCATTATGGAATATTGTCCACTCAATATAGTAGTTGTTACTGTTAACTGATCTGTAAAATCGGTTTAAAATAGCCATGACTGTATGAAAAAGTTTATCTTCGCGCCAAACCCGCCATGTTTTATAACAGTGATGATCCAAAGCGAGGCTGATCAACCGCTGAACAAAATATGATCAGTCTTGATATTCTTATTACTAAAATGCTGAGGATGTTTTGTTAGTATTGGAGAGAAATTACAGGTTTGTCTTGCTGTCATGAGGACTTGACCAGAAATTTGCAATTTGTTTTGGATTCGTGCCTAAGGGAAAACTTTTTTGTTTATTTGAAATTCCGTAGAGTGCATTGTACGAAATATGGAAAATTATTTGTGGGTGAAGGTAAGATTAAAATAATTTCTTTCGAGTCAGTCGAAATTATGCTAATTTGACATTTTAAGCTAGCTATGTTACATTCCGAGGGATCCGTGAACGCCAACGTATAAATAACATCAACCTCATCTGTCAGTATTCGCTGTCATTATGTCCACAGTGACGAACCATAATAACTTCTGTATGACAATTATCTCAGCTGAGTCGACGCTTCTCGTTGTGTGACACGATGGTCTGAGAAGGGCTAAGTGCGTCTGAAGGTGTTGATTTGAAATCTATTGAATAAGGGAACATGGGATGCTGTGTCTCGAAAGGGAGGCCTGTCCGAAGTTCTTCAGAGGACGATCTCGAAGCAGGACAACAAAATCTGACTCTAAGGTATGTAAAGAACGATTCTTCCACAAAGTAGGGCAAACCTATTTTCGCGAGTGTCAATGTTTGGTCTCTCAAGCAAGTACTTGGGGCCACAATAGGCAATTCTCATTATCTCTGAATATCGACGAACACTGTTGATTTATTTTTTCTCTCTCTCGATCAACCCCACGAAAAAAAAAAGAATTTCGGTCGCATGAATTTGGCGGTATTCCAAATAAACCACAGATTGGCAAGGTGCCGTGTGTTTTTTTTTTCGTCAGAAGATATGTCCGTAAATGGGTCAATACCCAACGATTATAAAAGGATGTAACCATTGCGAAATCTATCAGCGCTCAACAGCGTGAAATTAATCAAATTGCTTGGACTACTAGCTGCATTTTAAACGATTTTGCAACGGAAACAAATTGTTCAGCGATGATGGAACGATTTTACATGTATTTTAGGATTGAAATCCGTTCAAAGTTTCTCATCTGCTGATTTGTATGTATATCTTCTTGTTTAGACAGTGGGATAAAGGAATTAAATATTAATAGTTGACTAAATACACAAGTATGGGTTAAATCTAGATATGATCCAGTATTACGCTAAGCCTGCATATATTTATGTAGTGTGAGAAATTTGCATTCTTCGAAAAGTACAGTGTTTCAGAAGTTACGCGTAAACTTTGGATTACATCTTTACCCAAAACTTAATAATAATTATCAAACCACCTTGGAAATCTTTTATCGTGAAATTAAATTTTCTCTCACCTCTTTAAAAAAACACATTTCTGTGATTTCTCTTTCAGCGGCATAGTCACAGCTTCATTTTTTTTTTAAGTTTTGCTTTTACTTTTGAACAAAATTATTTTATGATTAATTAACATATAAATACTCAATTGATTCTCAATTTGAAGACACTAAACCTATTTAGAAACACCCTTATTGAAGCTTTTAATAATACATACCTGTAACTCAACAATTTTGGTGAGCCCCCCTTTTCATTGTTGGATCGCGTTTAGCAAGGTGAGATATATTAAGGTGTCAATATGGTTCTGAACCTGCAATGAAGACTTTAAGACAACTTTGTAGAATCTTGATGCTCTGATTGCAACTCAACAGGAATGGAATTTTCAACTTATTTCTGAGTTAAATGACAGACTCCTAGGTCACTGATCAGGCTTTGAGTGCAAGCACAGAGCCAGCTTGAAGTAAAGCAATGATTCTGTTTTCTGCATAGCCTAGGAAAATGTTCTTTGTTTGTTAGGATAAGATGCAAAATTGGATGTAAAGAAATACCTCAAACCTTTCAATCCAAGATCTTGATTTCAATTCTCCTTACTGTCTGTGATATATTTGATATATTTCATGTAAATACAGAGAACTTCTGTAAAAGCAGTTAATGTCTTCAAGTTGGTTATTTTTCTACATTCTCATTACCTTTCTGGTTGACAAAGTGTTGCCACAGAAGGGAGAAATTGTCTATTATTTCCTCTTGGGAGAAATGGGTTGATGCCACATTTGTCACCCTAAATTGACCTTTGGCGTTGGAAATAAGCTATTTTTTTTGTTGTTATTAATATAATGTATGCTGACATTTACACAGACATGCGATCAGTAGACAGTTGAACAGAAAGCAGTAACTCTTGAATTATGTAAACATATAATAATCAACAGCAATTCTTGTTTCTCTTGTAAACCTTCTCAGTAATAAAGAAGCAAGTCAGACATCCCTGCAACTAGCAGCTGATATGCCACATGCAGCTCAGGAACTAAAAGCATCTAGTGAGGAGTTTCATCTTTCTTTACCTCAATATGAAACACCTGAACATGAACTGCATAAAAAAGCTGTTCCTGGATCAAGTAGTTCCCTGGATGAGTTATGTGGGAGGACAAAAAGTAAAGCCGACAAAGAGGAGCGGTTCTCGAAGATTAGTAAAAAATTATTTGGTAAGAAAGAAAGAGAAGCACCCAAAAAGGATGATCAAGTTTCAAAATCAGCTGAAAATATGCTTAATGGGAAGAAGGATGCAGTGGAAGAAACAGATGTTGATATTGAAATTTGTCCAATCGACCATATGCCAGACAATGAAGAACCAGATATCGATATTTATCCCCTTGATGATGATGGAAAACCTGATACAGTCAATGGGGCTGAAAATCATTTCATTAATGGTCTAATCGATCCACATGCTTCTGCAGATCTGGAAACTCAAAGTGATGTTGATGGAAAAGAAGTTGTGAATTCTGCAGCAAATCAAAGAACAGTAACTGTTAATGATGAGGATGCTGAAGTTGAAAAATCAGCAGGAAAACAGCTCATCTTGGATGATGTATACCATCAGGTTTTATCAGGAAACATGAGTGTGACAGTTCCTAATTCAGCCAAGATAGTGAGAATATTCACCAGTTCCACTTTTACAGGTAAGCAGAATACATAAAGCATTTAATCACAGAAAGGGGATATCTGGGTTGATATATCTGAAATATCCTGAAAGGAGTGCTATGGAGCCTGTTTCCTACCGACATCACATATAATTTGTTTCCTCCTATCTCCTAAAAGGAACCTTTGTTCACTCAGATTGTTGAAAAACTTCCTTTCTTTAAATGTTCTAATAAACAAGTTAGTATTAGTCATCATTCAAAGAGAAGAACAATAAAGATAAGCTGTGCTTGAATAATGTGGGAATTAGGTTGCTCAAAAACTTCATAAATGGAAGGCCTCATTGCTAATTACCAGTAGCCTTTCTTGCCTTGACAATGTGTTTAAAAACAATAGAACTTTCACTACATTTTAAAAATTGAGGCAAAGAAGGCTAATATGAGTGTAAATAGAAGAGTAAAAATCGCACCAAAATTTTGTAAGAGGTCTATGTGTGGTGTACCCCTCAGCTTTCCGAACTTTAGGCTAAAGTATGTGATTTTCCTTTCCATGTGTCATCATCAGCCCTGTGTCCTATGTTATTTCTATAAGTTAACAACTTCCTTCATTGGAAATTGTAAAAAACAGCAAAAACTAGTTGACTAAAGGATGGGGGCCTGGATGACCTGGAACAACCTCCTCTTCTTAGACCAAAACAAAGACCCACCAGGCTCTAGTGATAAAACTCTTTGTTGGCTAGTTGTTTCCAGGGGTAGTTTCCCTTCCCTTTCAGGCACACTTACATTTGAGGGGTATATTTATGCTTCTGGTCTTTCCCTGATTGTTGAAAGTTTTTATCCCAACACAGATGCAAGAGTTGAGCGCAATGCACTGATGAGCCAAGTTTATCCAAAACTGAGAGACTTCTGTCATGAGAAAGGTTATGAGTTTCAGGTGGTAGACATGCGCTGGGGTATTCATGATCCATGCACTGATGACCACATGTTCAGTGAGGTTTCATTAGAGGAGCTCAATCTTTGCCAGGAGCTTTCTACTGGTCCCAACTTTGTGGTGAGTAACCTGAATAGATACCACTCTTTTGTTGCTTTTTTCTCTCCTTTCATCTCATTTTTTAAAGGAAAACTATGTTTTTTTTAAAGGGAGGTGCAGGGGATGTTTTTTTGTGATTGCCTTGAGATTTTATTGGGCCCTATAATATTTTCCTTTCTTCTGATTGGTTGCTCTGATTTATTTGGGGTGTTTTTGTGACACCCATTCTAAATGCTCTCCAAATAGTTTGGATGTATAAAAACCTCAGCTGAGACAAAATGGATATATCCTCCTCTTTTATTTCCTATTCCATCACACTGGAGTATTTTGCAAAGCATTTTTTTTCCAAGAAAAACCAAGTTCAATGTTGGCAATGGAATTTGCTTATTTCCAAATGTCAGTTACCATGACAGAAGTTGCAGGTGGCCATCTAAATAGACGCAAAAGACAAATTCAATTAACCAGCTTCATGCAGTCACGCTCTTAGATCGAATATGACACTAAAGTTTACTTTGGAGGACTGAAGTGTTAAGGGCGAAAAAACATATGAATAGAACTTTTTCCGCCCGATAAGTAATTGTGAAGGTATAGACCATCCTAAACGTGATTGTGATCATCTTTTACAGACATTTTTGAGTCATAAGTACGGTTATCGTCCTTTTCCTCGTACCATTTCTGCCTCTGAGTTTGACTCCTTGTTTGCTGCAATTGAAGATGAAGACGACAAGCGACTGTTACAAGTTTGGTTCAAGCTTGATGACAACGCCATCCCACCGGAGTATGTCCTTCAACCAATCAGCAGCCAGTTTCCAGACTTCCTCGATCCTCCCACCATGGAAGCCAGGCAACACGCTCTTAAGGAATGGTGGGATGTATTCCTCAGCCTGCAGAATGCCCTGCGGAAGGCAGCTACAAAGACGCTGCCTGAAGATGCAGCACATAAGTACTTACAGTCAGGTAACTGTTATGTTCTAGAGAGGAACTATGTTGACGTTTCTTTTACTTTGTCTGAGGCAACACAGGAACCTAATCTACTTGCAAATCACTAATTTTCATTTTTACTTTGCTGCATTTCCTTTTAATCCATTTAACTTTTGGACTCACGAAGAGAGTAAAGGAATTTCTGCAAACATGGAACAAACCTGTACAAGGGGAAAGCTCACTTCCTTGCTAGTACAAGAAAATGAATTTTTTACACGTTTCTTTTTTACTTTTAACATTTCCTCGTTATAAATGTTGAAAGATATGAGGATTAATTTTAATTGGTTGCCACCCCTAATTTTCAAGTCGCTTAGAACAATTTTCGTCTCAATTTCTTTCCTCTTTCAAAAAATAAAGAAAAAGATTGCTAATAAGTCCTAAATTTTGTGTCATCGTGAAGAAAACGGAGAGACCATTTTTTTCTTTTTTGAGGTCGTCCATACGTCCATACTCTGACAGACCATAGGTAACCACCAATTACAAAGCGTATAGCATTCATTTTGATGAGCAAATGTAAATAAACCGAACGTTTTAAGAGGTATAATGATTTGTGACTTTATCTCTGTTCACAGACTCAGAAGAGGAGATAAAGCAGGGCATTATAGAAAGGAATTTGTCAAGCTTACAGGCATTTTGGTTCAAACGCAACATCACAGACATGAAAGAGAACCTCAACAATCCTCGCGCAGCGAAGTATGTCGACGTCGAAGAACTTCCACCGAAACTGCGTGGTAGAGGAGAAGTGAAAGGGTTGGACAAGTCCACAAAGGCTATTCTAAAATTACTGAAAGAAAATCAAATCCCCAAAGCAATTGATGATAACAATATAGCTTCGTATAACATTAAGTGGGGAGAAAAAGGTGTCGATCCTCACTCGAATGAGAAACACGCCCAATACATTAAAAAACTGTGTCAAGACTACCATGAAAAGATGAAGAAAAGCATTGAAGAAGCTGTCAAAAAGAAGAGAAATACTAAATGGGACGATGGGGTGCTTGAAGAAGTTGCACAGCATCAAATAAACTGTAAAAAGCTTTCCTCCTCCTCCTCTTGTATTCCTAGTAAAGTGCTTGATGGCATCAAGGACTACATTACAGGACAAATCAATTCTCCCTTAGTTATTCATGGAAAGCAAGGTTCTGGTAAGACATCTTTGATTGCAATGGCGGCTAATTCGTGTCAGACGTGGAATGGAGGTGAAGTGGCAACTGTGGTGCGTTTCCTTGGCACTACTCATCAGTCCTGTAAAGTGCACTCACTTTTACGAAGCATTTGCCATCAACTTTGTTTGGTTTATAAAGCTGATTCCAAGAACGTTCCACAGGTTTGTTTGTATAATTTTCTGTATAGTTCGTTTTCATAAAATCGGACTATGGCAAATTTCACTCTTTTATGACCAAAACCTTATAAAAACTAAACTGTAAGCAAAAAGAGTGGCCAATTTGTGTTTATAAGTTTGTTTGTATGTCCTAAACTATTTTGTGATTGGTCAGTACACAACTAGCTATTCAAAATCAAATTAAAATGTCTTCGGTTTTCTTAGTCTTACAGTCATGGTTTCAATTCTTTACAGGACTATCAAAATTTAGTGAAAGAATTCCATGTCCTGCTTCAAAGAGCCTCCCAATCTCAACCATTGGTGTTGTTGTTGGATTCACTGGATCAACTTCGGAGTTACAGTATCAAGCGAGAGTTGTCATGGCTACCAAATAAGCTGCCTCCGCACGTAAAGATTGTCCTCACGTGTTTGACGGGAGACCAGGCCTTTGCCTGCCTTAAGGTGGGTAGTTTAGCCTATATTGCACATTGAATTGGAGTCCTTGAGTTTCTCACGAGGTTTTAACTCGCCTTTCAAATTGGTGACATGTACACCATTATTCTGGCAATGGTAAGTATCCACATTAGCTGTATTTTTTTGCATTCCTTTTTTCCTGTCTTGTGTAGGTATCAGGTTTTTGATAGCTGTCTCTTTCTTTTCGAGTTGGATACTGAAAATCACGTGAATAACTTGACTGACAGAAACTATTTCTGGGTCTTATCTCCTTGATTATCTTTTCAGGGCATTGTCGTTGATGACAGCCATTTCGTTGAGATCCAAGAGATGACTGATAGCGAAATGGTGGACATCATGAAATTATGTTTACAAAGCAACAACAGGAAGCTGACTGAATCACAAGAAAGCTTCGTGCTAAAGCAAGTCTCTAACTGTCGATCTCAGCTTTACCTAAAGCTCGCCCTGGAACAGGCTCTCACGTGGAAATCATATACTGCTTTGGCAGAAGTAAGTCTCAGTGCTTCAGTGAGGGAGATGATCATCTCCTTGTTCGAATATCTGGAGGTTAAACACGGAAAGGAGATATTCCAACACACTGCTGCGTACATAACCGCTTCTAAGAGAGGAATAAGCGAAGCGGAATTGGAAGATATCTTGTCTTGTGATGAGGTCGTGTTGGATAAACTATTTTCAAGCTGGGCTCCACCAATTCGACGTCTTCCTTTGTCACTTTGGCTACTCATCAAAGCTGATATAGGCCGCTTCCTTGTTGCTCACGTTGAAAATGGAGTCCGTTTGATCACTTGGGCCCATCAGGAGTTTCATGACATTTCCATGGAGAAATTCCTGTTCTCCGATGATAAGGACCTTTACCGCTTTCATTCAGAGCTAGCAGATTATTTTATCGGTCGATGGACTCAAGGTGCGAAGAAAGGAGACGGGAAAGGGAACGTGAAAGAACGCTATCTTCCTCGTCAGCCACTTCAGTTTGCCAATGATGTGTTCAACTACAGAAAGTTGAAGGAACTCCCTTTTCACTTGTTGAAATCTGACGATTTTGAGAGGCTCAAACAAAGCGCCCTCTGTAACTTTGAATTTCTGTCAGTTAAACTGAAAGCTACCTCGGTTCATGACGTTATTGACGACTTTATTGAGGCTCTGGCTGTCAGACCAGACGACCCAGATTTAAAGCTTGTTTTTGAGACATTGCAACTTTCCATGGAAGCCTTGAACGTGTCTACAGACCAGTTGTCGTCACAGCTCATTGGACGTTTATCCTCTTCTCGTTCCCCATCTCCGTTCATTGCTCGACTTCTACGTCAAGCTCATCACCCTTCCAATCCAGCCCTAATTCCCAACATCCGTTGTCTTGCACGACCAGGTGGAAAACTGGTACACTCATTGCCAGGTCTTCACGGATCTCTCGTCCTCAGCCAGAATGGCGACAAAGCCATGAATGGATCTCATGACCAGCTTATCACCCTGTGGAACGTGAAGAGTGGCGAGGTAGAAAAAACTTTGGATACATCCAGACCTATTGGCTATGTGGACTTCTGCCTTGATGAACAGTTTGCAATTGCATCTTGTCAAGGATCACTGCAATTTTGGAATCTTAACAAAGCACATATGGTTTGGGAAATCCCTAGCACGGAAACACCTGCTCCAATTACAGTTGCTGGAATCCGTGACACTTTGGTGGCGATTCTAGATAGGGTCATCAAGTTTGTAAACCTGAGCGATGGAACACTCACGAGGGATTTTGTGGATAAGAAGTTCCTTCATGACAGAATTGCTGGCCTTGGAAATAGCGTTGCCTTCGCAAGCTCCACGGCGGCCTACACCAGAGTCTATGATCTCAATACGAAGGAAATTCGTCTGTCTATCAAGGTGTCTGGGGAAGTTTCGGAGGATGTTGTGAACAACCTGATTCTTACTTCATTCTACGGGGGTCAACTCATTGTGTCTTTCGAGAAGTCTAGTAGTGTGCGAGTGTTTGAGTTGAACACTGGAAAGTGTCTTCACGTTCTAGGACCAGATATTCTTTACCCTACTGTAACTAAGAATGGGCGCTATATGTTGTGCACCAACAATTTCAATGACATTGCAATCTGGAACTTGGAAACAGGTATCAAGGAGAAGCAGGTGCTGAAGCATCCCCCAACGACTGCCATTGTGAGAGTTTCCTGTGTTGATTTGAGGACAGTCTTGACAGTGTCCGATGACCTAATGGCACGTGTATGGGATTTGGAAACCCAGGAAGGTTCTGAAGCCTGCTTTGAGGACAACAAAGAGACGAACAGCATCCAGCAGTTAATACCGATTAAAAGCAGTGTTCAAAAGCAAGTAATCACCAAGTCAAAGACTACCGGTCCCATCTGTGTGTGGAATTTGAGTTCATGTCAGATAATTCGAACCTTGAATAACACTAATGCAGATGAAATTCTAGTTGTCGACGACACTCGCGCTGTCATACGTTGTGGAACTAAACTTGCAATAATCGACCTTCAAGAAGGGAAACTGATCAAACACATACGATCTGACTTTGCCCCCAAAACGGATAAAGTCCACCGACACGCAAGTTCCTTGTACAAGCGTCGAGATTTAGCTCTGCGGTTGGCCGAGAGTCCAAGAGTGCCTGCTGTGTCAACGAGTTTGAAATTCAGCGATTGTGCTTTGGTTGGCACAACACACGTACTTATCCTGTCCAAAGATCGCTTATATCTCAAGTTGGCTTCCCTTGAAACTGGAGAACTTGTAGCGAAGCTTAAAAGTGGTCTAAACGCTATCATCGAAACAGTGATGGTCAGCGGCAACGGCTTGGTTGCAGTGTGCTCATGTGAGAATGCTCCACTTATAGTCTGGGACCTGAGAGACAAAGCCAAGCGGTACACGTTACAAATCAGTGGTCACTACCCAAGTTTGACAACTGCTGACATAAGCTACAATGGCCATTACTTAGTTGACGTTAGCAAGTTAGACAAGACACGAAAATCTGTGGTTACGTGGGACCTGGAGACGGGTAAGGTCAAACACGTCATTGGCCAGGGGATGAATGTCTGGAATGTGGCAGTGTCCTCCCTGAGCATGCGTATGCTAGTGGCTGGAAGACTTGGCACCAACGAGACCTTGCGGGTGTACGACTTGGTCACCGGTAAATTTTACCACCAACTGAACGGCCACACGGAACCTGTCAAAGGTGTTTGCTTGTCTAAAGATGGGAAACGAGCCTTGGCGTACGTTCCTCTTGGCGTTCGTGATCGCACTGTTCGCATATGGGACCTTATATCTGGCACTCTTCTTGCCTGCTTCACTCCAGACCTTCCCGTTTCCAGCTGCATCCTGACGGATGATGGAGATCAGGTTGCCATGGTAATTAACAAATCCCGTCCAATCGTATCACTGGCCTTGTCGCACGAGGTTGGGTCACGTGAGTTGTCTGTTGACGTTTCAAATCCTTACTTCAGCCACCCCACCCTGCATGGAGCCGTGTTTGATATGAGTGACGAGCTCAAATGGAATGATGAGGATGATGATGGTGACAGTGACAATGAAACAGAAGTTAATGTTTGAATCTGCTCGTTGTCTAACGATAAAATGCCAGCAAATGTGTGGGTGTAATTACTTAGTATGATTAGGTGCTTAAATTTTGAACCAATATGAATTTTTTAACGCGTAGATGCTAGTTGGGTCATAAGAGAGGCTTGAACTTATCGAAATCTAATCATTTCTGTACCATTCAGGGAGTAACTTTTTTTTAAATTCCGCAGTGAACCTTTTTTAAACCGATTTTATTACAATCGTTTTATAATGAATTTCCTTCAAAATTGTTTTGCGTGTTATAGCAGATTCGCAAGTGATATTTTTCAAGGGATTAAGAATAGATGATTGCCATCTTTGATATGATAAGTGAAGAACATGGCCATTTTGGTTGCATAATCCAAACGCAGTACATAGACAAAGAGATATTTATCATAGGAATACATGTAGATAGTTTAAGTAACACACATCTAAAAACGTTTTCTCTCTTTAAAAGAATTGTCTTATGATAAGTCATTGACAATTTTAGGAATAGTTAGTGGAATGCATGAAGTTAATGAAGGAAAGACTTCACAATTTGTCGGTACAAAAAGCGATAACAAAAAGATGGTCTACTTGGTTTTGTAGTTACGTCTGTTATTATCCATCTAACACACTTTGAACACCTTTTACAGCTTCTGTGGTAACACTTAAGAAATATTTTGGTTCTTTTAGCTTTTAAATCTCCGTGTTCCTCGATGAAAATTACATATAATAGGGCTGGATTTATATTTTTAAGTATAATAAAGTATACGGATCTTTTTAGTATAGGTAATAACATGATTTTTTTTGCGTGCAATTTGGTATTACTAAGCGCGAGTAAATAAAATTGGGCGAGTGCGATTTGTAATAATTTACATGAAAAAAGCATCACAGAAAGTAAAGAAAAAAGGAATTTTGACCGCTATTTATGAGTTCCACTCGTGTTACAACTTCGCATTCATGTTACATGAAAAATGCACTCATTTTTAGCTAATCAGATGCGCGTAACTCTTTCAAGTATACTATTGGTCCTTTGATTTATATTGACTTTTGTGAAATTGATTTTTAAAGAACAAGAGAATTATTTCCCATGAAAGAACACGTAATTTGGTGATTCAATGGTGTGTGGCGTCACTTATTATTACACCTGCCCGCTATTCCTGCAAAGTCACCTCTTTTCACGGACTCATTTTGCAATAATTAATAGTTAAAAAAAAGAACTTAACAAGAGAAACTTGGAGGAGTAGAATTTCCTATAAAACCTCTTGAATAGACAAGTGTCGATGTCAGGTCATCTTCATATACAAATTCTGTCCTTGGTCAACAGTATTTTGTCCAATCATTTCATTTACGTTATCAAGGAAAAAGTGTTAGTTAAATGTGGCTTGTAAGCGCTCATAGAATGAACTTGAACTGATGGTATTGAAGGGCTCTTTGTATATGTCAGCCTTTTAAAACAGTGAGCAAAATGGAATATACAGGAGCATAGTCAAGTGCGAGACTGTACGACCTCATACACCGCACCTATTCCGTGGTCTGGACAAGTGAAGTAAACAAAATTGACCAATAAAACATATTTCGAAAATCACTAAGTACTTCACCTTCAGAAGCAGCGAAGCTTTTTCAGTGCCAAAGGGTTCATCTTACATCGAGCAAAGCGCATATCCCTGCTTAGATTTCCCCGAAAGTACTTTGCGTAATTGCTTGGAGTAAACAAACCCCTTTTTGCGGTCTAAACTGTTCTGAGGGTGTCCGAAACGTGCATGAACAGGTAGTTGTGTGAAATTCAATTTGAAGGCGCAGGAATCAGGCACTTGTCAAGCTAATACAATGCATTTGATTTTGGAAGGATAACGTTCATGGAATTGAGTAGGGGTCAAACAGAAACCGTGGAAAGAAATGCTATTTGATTCCGTAGATTAAATTCTCTTACCCTCTAGTGAAGTATTGGAAATAGGCAACGACATGACAGGTTTTTCTAATGACTTTATCCTTCATGATCTTTAATTATTTGACGAGACGAGCCAGCACACTTATTTACACTGATTTTTGCGTCAATTTTTAATTGCTCGAAACTTGTAGTTAAACTGAAAGCTCACGAGAGCATAGTGGTCATTCGTGGTCACGATGCCAATCACTTAGCAAGTTGGTCTGATTTAAGGAGACTCCCCCGAATTTTTATCTGCCAAAGACTACCGCCATTTAGAATCCAAAGACTACTGTTTACTAATAGAAAGATTTTCAACACATGTACGCACTTAATTAAAGATATGCTAACCATTGTCACAGGTATTCTGCAAGTCCACATAGTTACTAGAAACATGATGGAACTTGGTTTTGTGATCAATCTTTTGTGACTTTTTCTTGAGAGGGTTGCGTTGATGGTGTTCCTTGTATTCTTGCTGCATCAATCCTTTGTTGTAGTCTTGTAAGCATCTGTATCTCCTTTTCGACGGATCCAAAGTCTGAAGGCAGTGTAGAATCCTCTTTACGCGTCTGCAAACCTCTTATTTTCTCTTCAATTAATTTCTCAAGTGTATTCAACTTCTCTGTTTCGTTTGGCATTTCCGTATTGTTGTCTCTTGAGACATTGTTACCTCCAAGCTCACCTTCTTCGTTAAATGTTGTAATTCTTGTGGTGGCTCTGTCGTTTTCGCCGGGGAGGTCGAAAGCCACACGAAACTTTTGCTTACTTTTACTCTGCATATCTTCAGGAATCGAATCTTGATTGACTTCCGTTGTGGGCTTGGACGTTTCCGCTCTTCTTAAATTGTGATCTTCCTGGACGCCAGTATCTTTATTTATGGAATGTTGATGCCTCTTCTTTAGAGGTACCTCCTCGAAAAGGCTCAGGTCTTCTGCAAAATCATCTGTGTAAACCTCGTTAACGAAAAGCTGAATTCGCAAAAACTGACTTTTAGTGATGTAATTTACAAGAGCCTTTAACCTCACTTCATGAGTATCTTCTTCCTCTTGGACAATTACTTTATTCTCTTTTTCAATACCCGCCAATTCTCGAAACTTATCCTTTAAAATTTCGAAAACTCCGGACTCAAACGATTTCTCTTTCACCTTTCCACGATCTTTCATTACCGTTTTCCTGTAACCTACAATGAAAATCGAGCGAATTACAGTCAAGTAAAAGAAGATCAGAGTCGCACAACATGAGAATAACGCCACTGCTCGTAAAACTGTATGTGAGGTCACGACCTCCTCAGTTCTAACCATGCGCGCCATGTATGAAATCGAGGTTTGCAATGAGCTTGAGAAATCCTTAAAATCATCACTGTCGCCGTGGAAGGCAATGGAAAACAAGGACGTGAACGCCATCATGAGGCAGAAAAACACAACAAGACACGCAAGAAGCTCGTAAAAACAACCCGCAATGGTCAATAAAATGTGCTCCAAGCACCCAAGCAATTTCAGGAAAAACGAAAATCTAACAATGGCTATAAAATTGAGGAAAGCGAAAGCATAGTCGGTCAACTCATCGTAGAAGCCACACTGGTAAAAATCAAGGTATTGTTTTGGATCCTCTTTGAACTGATCAGTGGCCAGGTTTTTTAATCCCTCCTTTAAAACTTTCAAAAACACGATTACAATACCCGTAAATACGAAGATAAGGTCCAAAACTTTCGATGCATCTCTGAAATATTGACACTTGTCGTGAAATATCGTAAAGACAGCGCGATATATCATAAAGACAAGCACAACAGCAGCTGTAACTTCACCGATTATTCTTGCAGCTGGATGTTTCCGCAAAGAACCATACATGCTAACAGTGAATGCCTCGAAACTTTTATATACCCCACCCAAAGGTGGGAGCTCAAACGTAATCGTTACGGCAGCAACCATGTTGATGCTGGGGTTGTAGGCAACGAATTCGGCGTGGAGAGCCCTGGTGCGACTATCCAACCAGTGCAGTTGTTCCTCAGGAGTGTCTGTACTCTGGTTCAGAATAATTACATAACCACCTCCACTGTAAGTTGCAAATTTCCCAATGACTGGCAATACATGATGGGCAGCGAAATTGTCCATATGCTGCCACGGGGTATGTCTGTGATCAGACGTCCCGGACGAGAATGAAAACAAGTTCCTGTTATCAGTATTCTTGGGTTTAACTGTTGCATTCTCCCAACGAGAATCATAAAACTTAGTGTCGTCTTTTAGCATTGAATAAAATCCGTTACATTCATGAAATATGTCGTCAAACCATTTGTTAACTGAACAGGTACCTTAAAATACGAAGAAATAATTTATGAGGTGGTAATAAGGTGTCGGTTAATCAAGTATTCTAAGGTCTAAAGAGAAGATTAAATGGTTTCATTTTCCCACAATTATAATTGCTGCAATGAATAAAAACAGCGTAATATAAGAATACATAAGAAAACTAATTGGTAGAACAAGGGTACTAGGAAGGGACTGCAACCTATCCTTATTTATGTGATTTGCGAAGCCGAAACTGTTGAAACGATGGGATCTAAGTCCATCATCAGTTCAATAACACCCAGTTAAGCGTTTTCATAAAGTGACGCCAGTTATTTGGCTGCACCCGTTCAGATCCTCGTGAGGAAATTGGGAACTAGGCCGGATCGTCCTCCAACCTAGTCCATTTCTAGCTCCTGTTTGCAAAGAGTACAAACATCGACCGTTATGGTACCTTTCTGAATACGAACTTGGCGCAGTCTCGCTACACCCAGCTGCAGCGACATTCTGTCAGCCATGTACGGCTCGTTGGGCAAGCCCTCGTAAATTTTCTCCGGGAATAATCCTGGTAATAGGGTCTGCCTCCTCCAGTCCCAGATGGAATTCACAGTGTTCACCTGAGGAGAGATGGTATGAGGGGTGAAGTTTTGTTATCATTTTGATGGAGATCAGCCCGAAAGGTTCATTAACCACCTTTTAGGAAACTTTGATAGAAAGAAAAATTTCTCATCAACTGTGAATTAGGTCTTATGAGAAGCTTGTAGGAGTTTGGACAAAATATATTGAGAGGAGAAGCGCTTAATTACAACACAGCCTGGCAGTGAAAGCTTGGTATAGCTTTGACATATGTTGATTCAACATGTATACCTGTTCAAACCGCACGCGACTGTTATTGTGCATAGGATTTACAAACAACCGCCTCAAAGTGTTGATCATCTTGTACGATGCTGGGTTCCTATATTGGAAGCTTAGAATCATCACCATTGCCAGCAAAATAACATACAAGCAAATATCTGTGAAAATTTTGATGGTCTCTCGTCTTCGGATCTCTTTGATCCTTAAAATTCTCAGAATTTCCTTCGGAGGGGGATGGTACTGGGCCAGTTCCTCATTTGAAAGCTCTTGATGTATTTCCTCTTCGTTTGACACTTCTAAAAATTGCGAGAGAAAAATATCAACATCCTCAAATTGTTTTATCACTGAACATAAAATTGGTTAAAATTACTTCCAAAAAGTTTAGGATTTATTTGGAAAACTGTGCAAATTTGAAACTAAGAGAATCATGCAGTCCCATCTCTTATTTTCGTTACCTTATGCTTCTAACAACTTATTCTGCTCGACAGCATGTTCTTTGTTTAAGGAGGAAGTTTGTTTTCTTTGTTTGGAAGAATCCTCCACGATTTTGATAACAACAAGAGACCGGTTGATGTAAACATTTCACTTTGTCAGTCGTTTTATATTTAAGTTTTGCAAACCTTGTGCGGATTGAGATTCTTCAAAATAGTCTTCATCATCAGCTGACTTAAAGAACACCGCAAAGATCAAAGCTACAATAACCACTTTTAATGGCTGACTGATAAGCGTATCTTGGATGAACGAAATAGCCATTGTTGTCAACCACATGTTTGACTTTTCCTTCCCCCACATCATGCTGTAAAATAATGTGAACACACAAGAGAGCGAAACAGTCAAGATGCACAACACCCAACCAACATATACACACCAATATGGAAAACAGGGTCCTCCATCGCTTTGGAACTTTCCACGCAGGTTTTCAAGAAATCCTGGATTTTGGGCGTCTTGAAGAGATTCATCATCGATGCTCTCAGTCTCTTCAGTTGAAACAAATGACTTCTCTCTTTCAGAACCAGTTCTGTCTGCTTTTATCCTTTTCTGAAAGACATCCTCATCATTGATATGGCATTGTATATCGTCAAGATCCCGATCCTTTTCCATGCTTCTGGTTAAATTATGCAAATCGCTGTTGATTGAGTCAGTTTCTGTTTCCTGCTCAGACGCTTGAGAATTAGTGTCTCCGTGACAGCATTTGTTTTCTTTTGACCTTTTCCCCTTCGCTTTGGAGTTCCTAAAGAAGGCCACTATCAGAATGTTAACTGGAATTGCAATCAATGCACTCTCTATAGCAATCATGACCGTGCGCATGTTAAGCTTTATGGGTCCAAACTGAACAGACGAGGACGTGTCCCCTGCTTCAGAACCTGATCCATAAAACATTGCTGTAGTGATCATGAAGGTGAACAATAGAGAGAGACAACAAGAGAGTCTCTGAAGCCGAGTAAATGGACTTCTTGGAGGTCGATAGGCCAACGAAAACCAAAGATGGTTGTCACAAATCCCCTTGCGTACTTCTGTGTTGAAGAGCTTTTTGAAGGAGATCATGTCGAGTTCGCTTGCAGGGTTGAGGAATACGTCTATTTTCCCGTCTTCCTCTGCTACATCCAGCCAACGGCCTGCAGGCCCTGTGAAAAGGAAGGGTAAATTATTTACGAGGAGGAAAGATCACGATTCTTATCAAACCACAAAATACCTGCTAGTGATGAATTGAGAGCACGAACCTATGAATAACAGTTGAAATGTTCTTCTATCAAGTAACTGAGTACCCGAGTGAAGATGTATTCTTGTTGAACATATCACATGGCGTGAGCATCAACGACTTTAAACACGATTCACAATAAACATGTGAAAATCATAACTAACTTAGGGAGTATTGATAATCCAAAAACCACTCTTACGTACTTTGTGGCATAAAAAGGGTGTTTAAAAGAGACAAAAATGAGAAATTTCTCTTTCTTACCTGCGAGAAAAATCCACTTCTCGTCAGTCTGACAGTCTCTGAGCATCGTTCGGCATAAGAACCATGATGGACTGTAACCACTGTTATCATGCCAAATCTTAATTCCTCGAATGACCCCAAAACTACGCGGTACGGATAAGATGAAAACATTTAGATCCCCTCTTCTAAAAAGTGGTCTGTTGGCATCTAGCAGAAAGCACGGGCCACTGTCGTCATCCTCTCCAAAAATCTCACAGCCAACATGTGCTGTCGTACCAGAACCGTTACGGCTCCCTGTAACAAAGTAGACCTCGTACAAATACTGGCTGTTTGGTCGACTGGGAGGAAGAATGGTAGCACCGACCTGTTGATGAGGAAACAAATCAGTGAATAATGACAATAAAGTGCTGTCATGTAAGCAAAGAAAACTTTTTAAGGGTACATGCCACTGTAGATTAATCTCCGAAATATATGGAAATGAATGGTCTCCCATGTGTCTAGTACTTAGGTCCAATTTCCTGACTATTATGGTTTTGGTAGTATCAAAAGAGCCAGGAGGCTCCTCAGTGCTCAGGAAAGTTATCAGTGAAAATTATGTCATATGGGTATATCGCCAATCATTCTACGCATGGAAAGTGATTAAACTGCATCTGAATCAAATAGAAATTTAAGGGGTGTTCATTTATACCTCACACGAATGTGTCCTCTCCTGGACTTGACCAATTCTTGATTGGTGAGGTTTTCAATGTTTAAGGAACTGGGCCAAAGCCAGTTGCAACTTATCAATGTTAGTTTTTCCTACCTGTCTGGCGTCTCTCTTGTCAACTGTCCGAGCCCATATAGCCAGCACCAAGTATACCATCAACGAGGTAATGATAGTGAACATTACTACAACATTACCACTTTGAAAGGCGTCGGCAAACCCTGCCAAGGCTTTTCTGAAATCGATTGGATTTGGTGCTACGATCATTCCAGATCCAAATGATGTTAGATGATTTGTCATACAGTGAATTCGCTTTGGACTTGTAAATGGTCCAACCTAGAAATGATTTTAAATGATTGAGTAAAAAATGGTCGCTGGCGAGGATTTATTTTTGATTTAATGCCAATACACTAGACGAGAATTAGAAATAGCAATATGATTAAGATAGGTGTCTTGTCACTACCAGTAGATGTCAGTGGATAAAGGTATTCCTGTATTATAAGCTGCCACCACTCTATGACTCGTCTTACGGAGCGGACACCTCTGCCAATACAGTGCACATGATTCATATACATTTGAATCAAACACTAAAGGCTGATTACTTGCTGCATAACATTAAAGCATAAATAACACTCTACATTTGGATCAGATGGGAATTAAAGACTGAAATGAAAACTACTGAAAGACTCACAAAACAGCCGTCGCCCTCCCATGCCTGTTGTCGCTGGTTCCAATAGAGGCATTTTGATTTGTAAACTCTAATGGAGTACTTCATTACAGCAGTCTCGTTGGAACTTCTCATGTCCTCTTTCCCACTTGAATACCAAACACCAATAAAGTAGGTAGACTGTTTTAGTCTTGTGTTAGATATGAAAAGTGTGTAATGAGAATAGTCCTTAAAACATGCTGAGTAGCTAGTGTTTGACGGAACTTCGGTAGCAGAGTGCCAGATTTCTTTTCGCCACGAAAATTTTTCCTTGGTTGGATGACGGTTTTCTCGAACGTGAAGACGAAGTTTGTGACTGCAGTTGAATGGCGTGACTTCGATGCTAACTGCTTCGTCTTTGGAGGAAATTACTAGTTTGTGATACGCCCAGGTTTCTTCTGCTGTGACATTTACGTTGTATTTATTCGGTTCCGGCAGGACATCTGGAGCAGGCAAAAAATATTCGATGTATTTTCTGAGGTTAGAAACTGAAATCAACTCTTTCTTTTCCTTGTCTTCGTAAGAAAGGCTGACAACAGGGGTATTGATGTCCCTTGATGAGTTATGGTAGGTATGGTAATTTTTTGGCGTATACATTACCTGCAAATAAAGGAGAATAACATACAACCCTTCTCTACCAAAGTTAATGGTTTGAGCTCGAGGATAGCGACGCTAAAAAGTATGACCGTTCTCAGTAACAAGAATGACAGTATCCGACATTGATACAAACTGAAGCATTTAAAGCACTGGAAAATATAGTCACCAACGCTATTGGATCTAGTATTGGATCTAAACCGATCATAGAGGTGTGCCGTTTGCTGGAGGTGTAATCTCTGATGATACAGTAAAATACTTGTATTAAATTATACCCAATCACTAAGAAACATACCTTTTGATTAACAGATGTCAATCCTGGCCTTGCATTACGGAGCAAGTCTTTTCCTTTTGGCACATTAAAGCTTGCAAATCCTGTGTTCACGTTCCCTCCAGTCCCAGAGGGAGCGGTGCTCTTCAGGTTTAGAGCAAGTCGTGGGGAAATTATCACTGTAGCTTCTTCGTAGGGTACCTTTGTTCTGAGCACTGACGTTGACAACGAATCCACAACTTTGAATAATTTATTTACCAAAACCTTACTCTGAAAAGAATGAAGCATTCATACATTAAAAAGCTGAATTAGCACGCCGGCGTAATTGTGATATTGCGGAAAATCCATGAAATCATCATTACCTAAAGATACGCCAATAATGACATAATAAGATGGCTTTTTCTGGCGGACCCACTCCTTGATTAAGTACGGAAATATATGACTTTCATATATTCTTAACCATTTGCGGAAATATAGGTTAGATGAAAAACTCGTAAGCCTACCTTTGAGTGCATAGTCTCATTGTCAGCTTGTTCTTTGACATTTTCTGATGACGTCTGATTCGTGCTGTTTGGCTGATGGACAGCGGCATTTTCTGAGGCGACGTCAAGCAAATTTCCGATAGTTCCACACATTCCGACAGCAGCTGTTTCCAACGAATCAGAGCTTGTCTCGGGGGACTCACTCTCAAATACAGCAGCCATTTTGTCCAGCGCTGAGGTAGCTGCTTCCTGAAAAATAGCGACAATCACACAACTGATTGTACAAAAATATATGGAACCTACATGAGTCAGCTATTTTGCAAAGACAGACAGCACGGATGGAAGGACAATGAATTATTATTATTTGATATTTATCTGTTATTGAGACTGTCACGAGGGGAGCGAGTCGACGTGAACCTCTCAAGTAAAAGGTAACGTGTACAGTGCTGTTTCAGGGATGTTGATTGAAAACACCTGCATCATACCTTACCATTTTGCGACCTTACATAGAAAACATATTTAACTGCTATCTACCTGTGCCTCGTATGATACTTCACTGGTTACTTGAGTGGCTTCTTGGAGAGACGCAGATAAAAGCTGAACGGCCTGACCAGAAGGAGTCGTTTCCTTCACCAATGCAAATATGAGCAGTTCGCGTATCTGTGAATTGGTAAGAGTGTTTCTATTTATCATCAATACTTTCAGCCTCATTGAACAAGAAAAAGCTGCAAGAACTATTGAAAATGGGGAAATGTCAGCAGTGTTTCACAAACAGACGAAATACGACGGTTTATCAAAGTGGAGTGATTAACAAGAATGTCAGCACTAGTGGTGGTGGAAACATTAGGACAAACTCAAGAAGTAACACGCCTTCAGGGAGAGAATTCTCGTAGTTCAAACCTTCTTTCGTTGTTCTGCAAGCTCGGGAGTGTCTTGTCCTGCTTGGTAGTTTAAAACAGAGCTAATGCTCATAGCATTACGCAGCATATCCTGGTTCGTATCCAATATCAAGTCGAACAGCTGATTTATAAGCTGGGTGCCTTTAAGGAGTGGAGGAAGTGACTGCAAGAAAGAAAATATTTTGTAGTTTGCACAGTGACAGTAATTTGCCATAGAAAATGAAAACGAAACTATCACTTTTATCAACCCTATAGATGCAAACGGCTAGTTTTTCCCACGATATCAATTTAAAGGGTTTCGGGAAGAAGACCCAGGAGGTTCTAATCACAAAGCGTCTGTTGCATGACCCCAGAGGAATACACTGTTAACTCATCGCATTGATGATTTTCTACAGTTACCTGAAGTTGAAGCCTCACAGATGATGCTGCGCCTAATCTGTCGGAGACGCGAACTGTGATATTCATAGTGTAATTCTCTCCGTCCCCTAATGGAAGTGAAATGATTGTTGCTGCATCTGTTCCGTAATACAGAGGCGATTCCTCTTTTCCACGAACGTGGTAAATCTCGTACCTAAAGGGACCATCAGGGTCATGCCAGCCAATGCACCAGAGCCTGTACCGCGTGGTCAGCACATGACCGACACGTGGCTCAATGTCACATGTCCCGTCCCTTGGAAGAGCATTGACTTCAAAAACATGAGAAGCACGTCCATAGCTACCAGATGGCAGAGTTCCTTTCACAGCAAGTTTGTAAAGTCTGTTTCCTTGTAGAACATTTTTCTTTATGACAATGATTGGAAAGCTTCCATATGGTGAGATGTAGCGCGGATTCATTAGTGAGCTGTTGGTTTTCCAAACTGATTTTGTGCCTTCGTCTAATTCCAAGTACAGCAAAGACCAGGAATAAGTCAGTTTCGCGTTACAGGCGTTTCCCAGGCACTCAGATGACACAGTAAGCTTTTCCGAAGGATTGACTTTGTTGTCGCAATTAACCACACACCTTTAGAAAAAGTAATATATCTTATCTACATCAGGAATCACCATAGTTTGCTTTTACTTGGAATAGTGTTATGGACACAAGTAAAACAAGAAATGGTTACCAACTCTAACTCCCCCCCTCCCCCTGATATTTCCAGTTTAGTTCGCGTCAATTTGTCCTACCTTATGATTAAGACTGGAATGTCCTCCACACTCAACTCCAATAACTGAGTTGTTGAACTACTTCTGCTGTCCTTTCTCACTACCAGTTCTATGTGATATTTTTCTTCAGCTGTCATACGAGATGTCGCTAGGTTAAGGTGTGTTCTATTTGAAATGATGTACTCTCCATTTCGATAACAACCTCGCTCAGAACTGACAGAAAATTTAGGGGAAAGGTTTGAATTCGAATATTCTGCGGTACCATTGATAATATCTTCCAGTAGGTCCGGAAATCTTTCGGAGATATTCCTACAAAGCCACAAGAAACGCATTCCTGGGAAGAGGAATATATTATGGTTACTCCATTGTCAATTTTGTGCTCTTATTCTGATCCAAGGCTGTAAAATCACTGTAATTTTAAAGAGCCTAAATAGGTAATCTACCTGACCAGAAGCACAAGACGCATGCACATACGTTTGTGAACGAGATTGAATCGATGGTGTTTGCTGAATAGGGAAAAGTGACTAGATCTGAAAAAAGGATATCACAGAAGAAATCAAGAAATCAATTTCCCTACTGACCCTGCAGTGGTAGTGGGTTTGCTTTCTTACCATGCGGTGAAATTTTAGGTTCAGTCTGATTAAGACGATGGAAAAGCACAATACTTTCAGGAGGCTACTGAACGCAATTACCTGAGAATAAGATTTGTTGCTGAATACAAATACCTGAGTGATTCCCTGCTCCGATGTCAGGGTCATGAGAGCCCAGAGCGTTTAAAGATACCAATGACCCGAAAGTCCTTCTTATCTCGCTTCCTCCATTGATTTCAGCAACCAATGGAGATTTTATTGTTCTAATATATCCCTCTGCAGCTGCAAAGAAATCATCCAGGCCATCTCCAGTCATGTTCACGCTCAAACTTAGTCTGAATAATCCCAACGGCAAAGCCCTCTTTTGGAGTCGTAACTCTCGCATGGAAGCTTCTCCGTAAGAACTTATATCGGTAAACGGCATAAAGCTTCTTGCTTCTTGATTGTATTCAAATATCTTCCATTCGTAATGGGATTTTTCAGACTCGGGACAGAAGATGTCAACATCAGCCTCAATAATAATATTACTAGCTTTAAAGAGATCTCTTGCATCTGCTGGACTGCTGCCGACATTTTTTAACCTCAATTCAGGTTTTTTACAGGGCCTGGGCAGAATTTCAACTTCACAGGTTACTGATGACCTAGAGACATAATTTGTTAGGGTTGCTGTTATGTTATATACTCCTGGAGTTTCAAAGGCGTAACGCATGATGGTTGTTCTTTCAAGATCTCCCTGATATAGCGTGTTTATCTTGTTCGCTGCTGTATTGAGATTATCTATCGCATCGGCTTCTCCGTACCAATATCTCGTGATGTTGCCCAATTCCACTAGAAGAGTTGAGTTCGTTCCAAGCACTTCCAAAGCTGCCCAAATGGTAACAGTTTCATTTCTAGCCTTGGGCGAAGAGCATTCGAGATAACTATGCAAGAATTTTGCACGTTTTTGAACTGCAATATCTACAACAGAAACTGCTTCACTCACGTGATTGCTAACACGTATTGATATTTTATATGTTCCAGGAGTGTGGAATATATGCTGAATCGTGAGTGTGCTCTGTTCAATGTATGTGGTAGTTTTACTGATTGACCATGTGTACTCCAAACTGGAACCTTTGTCAACGTTGGCATCAAATATAACTGGAATTCCTTCTGGGAAAATATTCATGCCCTCACCATGTCCAGCATAGAATTTACCTCCCTCAAAATACTTCATGTTAATGTGAACTTCAGCAACTGGAACCTCTATGATGACCACTTGTGTGTGACTCAGTAGAGGGGTAACAAGATTTGTTGCTGTGACTGTTATGTTATGCTTCCCAGCTTGTTTATAAATACTTGGCGTTACATGTGCCATTCCAAAAAAATCTTGATTTTCTATGTCAAGTTCTTGATGATTTACATACACCTTGAAACTCACATTTGTTCCGGCCTCAATGGTGCAATTGACAGTGAAAGTGTCCCCAAACCTCACTGGACTAACGTGTGAAACTTGAAAGAATTGTACTTCCATTTGAATCACAGCATGAGCAGTTGTTATCATTTTGCTCAAACGGTTTTGACAATTCACGATGACTTGATATACACCCACTTTCTTAAAAACATGTCGTACAGACATGCTTACATTGGTAAAGGATTCGTGGCTATCACTTAAATCCTTTAAATATACTAGCTCCTCCGTGGCGTTTTTCTTTATTTCCTGTCCGTCTCCAAACTCCCAGTGGCAGTGAAAATCAGATCCCCTTAGAAAGAATATTGGAATGTCAACACTTTGGTTCAACTTTGCAACGAGCGATGGAATACTAGCCCCTTCTAATTTCAAGACTGGTTTGTGAACCTTGATGGTAATGCTAGTATTGAAGGTAGATACTTCATTTATTGCTGTAATATTGACTGTGTAAAGACCATGCAGACTGTACGAGTAATTAACGTACGATCTATGGGTGACTATTCCTTCACTGTCGTCTCCAAAGTTTACGAGATACGACACATTTGTTCCAGAGATGGAAGAGATGTTTGTGAACAAGATAGTGATGGTTCTATTAATCTCTATATCCCTGGAACTATCAAGAACGATAGGAGTGAAGGGATTAATGGGTCGAAAAATGTTGCATTTTGTCCATGCGGAGATCCAATTCGTGACTGCATTGGAAGCAGCGACGTAAACAAGGAATTCTCCCGGAGTTTTGTATTCCTGCATTGTTACAAGAGCGTGTCCATGCAAGTGTTTCTCTGTCTTTGCAGCAACTTGCAATGGGGCGGCAGAAAAAGTTGCTTTGTACGTGACACCCTCGCCGTCGTCTATTTTCCATCGTACTTTGAACTCAGTTCCAAACAATATCGGAGGTATCGGATAAATAGTAAGGCCCTTGATACGATTTTGAACAAGAACTATAATACTAACGGTTGATTCGCTTCTTCTGTTTCTACAAGTGACCCGAACCTTGTAATCAGCAGGGACTGTGAAGGTATAATTCCGAACTAAAGTTCTCGAATCAGTTCGAGAGGTATACGTAGTGAAATTAACATGATCACCCAGTGACCAGAGACATTCAAAGTGAGACCCTTTTCCCACAAAGAGACGAAACTGAGTTGCCTCTCCAAACACTGTTGCGTTACTTTGTAGGGTTACATTCTCAAGAATGAGTACTGGCGTAGGAACAGATATGTTAGCTGTAGCAGACAACATACTTGTGTTGCACATAGTCCAAGCATGCACACGCAACGTATAGTTACCGATGGAGCGGTACATGTGATCACCTGTGTCCCAGACTCCCCTACATGTTTCTATGCCGTCTCCCCAGTCGAACTTGAAGCTAGCTTTCGTGGCGTTCTCGTTTGCACTTGCCTTGACTTTTAACCTCGTTTCATTCACCTCCACCAGGTGCGATGGCGAGGTTAGGTTGAGAGAGAGATACTGCAAAGGCACAACTGAAAACAGGATAAATTTGTGTCAAGAATGAAGTTTCTAAACTCTACCCAGCGATTGTTGAACGTTTAAGCTTAACCCCGTTATCTTTGTTCCTAAACCAAATGGGTTGCCAAAAGAAATAGATATGACATTTTCTCGATTGCATTTGAGATCACGAACTGCCGACAGTAACCAATTACTTGCAAGATCAGATTTGAAGAAGATCTTGGAAGAATAGCCGTGAGGCATTTTCTATAACGAGGAAAACCAACCAATAGCACTACTACCATTATGTACAGTTATTTCCCAACAAAGTCTACGAAAACAATTATTTTTCAACAAAGACTAAACAAAAAAATTCCATTTCATGTTCCCCTGTAAGGCGATGAGCAGTAACATATTCTCGATGAGTAAAAAAGCCATCTAAGTAGCTCTATAAAATTCAAGCCAGAAATCTCTCAGCTAATAACACGGCATGTCGTTTGACTCAAGGTTATCACATCCAGGTAAGGGCATTTCGATCGAGTGTTGTCAAACCTAGGCCAAAGTTAACGTAAATCCACATCACTGAGGAGGTAAATAAAACACGGAGCCAATGAGAACTCAAAGAAAGAAGAGCGTTGAAGTCTCTGTTGTTTTTCTTTTGCATCTGTTTTGTTAAGAGGGTGGCTCGAGTTTTCTGGACCAATCACAGAGCGAAGGAAAACGAACCTAAGGCAATCCCGCATAGCTTTCGATACTCAATTGAAATTTAATATTACGATATTAGCACTATATACATCAGCATTAGCGTATTTGTATCACAGGAGCTCGCTCATCAATTGGATATAGGTCGAGCTTACTCCTCATCGAGTGAAGGGTGCCGTTTTGTTAAACAGTTACAACAGTCACAGAGATTGTGTACATACCTGGCATACAAGCGCGCCTCGCCGCCGCAACTTCCTGCCGCAGAAGTGCTTTAGAATAAAATTGAACACAAGCGACTTTGCCTTTGTATTTCCCCAAAAATGGCAATAACATGGCACCAATCCTGATCTCGTATTGCGTCGCCAAATATATATTCTTTCCTATAGATGTACTGTAAACTTGGACTCCATCGTGATACAAAGAGGCCTCGCCCGTCACGTGATCATAAGAAGCACCAATAAAATTCCACGTCCCCACGTTGATGACATCAACGTGCAACCATTTGGAATAGGAAAGGTTTCTTTTGTTAAATCGCGCAGATAACCGTCCTTTCTTCCCCATAGTTCCCTGCATCCACATTTGTACTCCGTGCTGATCGGCGTTGTAATGAACAATTGGTCCAGTGTGGCTTTCAAATGGCAAGATATGAGACAGAAATGTTAAAGAATAGCCAAAATCGATCTGCTTATCTGCCTCAATCTCGACGTAAGAGTCTTGACTTCCTTTGAATAAAATGGCCCCGCCTGGCTCGCCATCGATACCGGAAACAAACTCAATGTTAGACATGCGCACTTTCAAGCTACCATTCAGGGCTTCTTTGTTTCTGTAGTGTTCATTAAAAGGCAAGAGGACTGCGGCCTTTGTTGACAGGTTACAATGTTGCAAAACTGATATATAAATCAAAGTAAATTATTAAACAACTTCCAAAATTTTTTATGGTTCATCTCTGTTATGATTAATGCTGATCTACTCAAATTATGCAAGGCTCATAGTCAAATCTCCGTTTTAAGTCTGTGGTTATCTGACACTTGTTTTAGCATAGAAGCGTACTTTGCACGGCTAGAACCACGTAACCCTTTAACTCCCATGAGTGACCAAGACAGAATTTCTCCTTGCAATGAAAATACGATATCAAGCAGAAGGGTGATAGGAATAAAGAATATTATTAATCAGGGTATTACCAGTTGATCTAATACCAATCTCTTCGAACTAGCATCATAAGAATTGTACGGCACGCAGTAGGGAGAATTAAAAATGAGATCTTGAGAGGGAAAGGGTTAACTTAAAGAAAGAAAGATATTATTCTTCTTGTCATGAGTGCGAGACAAAGAAAAAAGTCTGAGCTCCGCATGATGGAACAAACCCTAAACGTTTGGAAATCGCGCTATGGTGCTTTACCGCTTCACTTGTTTTGCAACTCAGAGACGAAACTCATTAACCATCGAATTTGCTGGTAAGAGTTTAAAATAAGCACTTTGGACGAAACTCAAAAACAGTTTCAAGATGGATGACGGTGAATTCGTATTATAAGTGCATAAAAAAATTATATTGTCTTAACCACTTTCAGAATTGAATGTATTTGTTCAAATTCCATAATCCGCGAATTCAATAACAGAACGCATAACGAGCGGAAAAATGTCTTTCAGAAGTCGTGCATTTATGCTGGGAGCTCCGCAAGTGGTAATTTCCCGATTGAGCTGATTGACATATTCTTCACATTGTCTGGAAAAGTTGCAATTTGGACGTTCATCACAAATTCAAAATGTTTATTTTGGAGATGTTCCAGGAGATGTTTCGAGAATAATTGAAATGGCCTTCGCAAATAGTTACTGGCAAAAAATAGAGCGGACCGCACGTTCGATTTATCAAGGGCATGGTTAATTTCCATGCAACAAACATGAAATCTTCGTGTGTAGATTTTTAAGACATAGAAGTTACATATATATATTCTTTAATCGTCACGATCAAAATTCTCAATCTGAAATGATTACATAGTTGAATTTATTTTAGTGTCTCATAACGTGTCCTCCTTGCCTTTAAAAAAAATTCCCTCTCATAACTGTGAATTACATTTTCGGAGAGAAAACACTTTTTTTATTTTCAGATGATCTCGCTATGAGGCCAAAGTAGTTAAAATCATAACGCTATGCGGTGTTTACTGATTGTGTTAAATTTTCACAAATTCACCTTTCCTTTATAGATTTTGTCGGATGAAAATAAGTTGAAATGCTAACTAAATTTCGGAAAAGTTCCTACCACCTAAGTATTTTATTCTTAGGTATCAGAATTAATCAGAATCTCGGTACTTAACTATCGAAAACAAGTCGGTAAGACCCTAACCGTAATCAAATGCGATTTTATCGGCAAAACTTTTTATAGTTTACCTTGATTCTCAAGGGAAATGACTTGTCCCAGATCCAATATTTGAAACCAGACCTGAAGTACAAATGAAATAGTATTCAAAACAACAGCACTACCATTTTTTTTTTAGCGCGAACCCATGATGTAGATGGAAAAAGCTTACCTGAAGCACCAACGACACAACTACCCGAAGCTTATAACGGCTATCGCAAGTGTTTCCCATTTATAAAATAGATCACGACATACTAACTACAAAGGGTTCAACGCAAGGGGAAAAATCTCGACGACGGAGTGGTTTTCATGTCAGATCTGCTTTGTTTCATCTGATGATTTCTGTTTCTGTTTTTTAGTTACGGGTGTTTTTTTAAACGAGGAACGCTTGTGGTGTCACCCACTGTGAAACCACGAAAAGAAAACATTCCGTGAAATGTAGTCATTTTTGGACTGCTTAGTGAATATTTGAGGTTTGAGTATGGAACAGCTTTATATTTGCTCTCACAGCTGTAGCTGCTTAAGTTCAGTGGAGTTTTTGAGTCAGTTTTTAGAGACGACTTCGTAAGTTTAACGTGATCAATGCAAAAGACCTGCATGTTACCCAAAGATATATCAGCAAAATCTTAACTTCAGTGTGAGATTTTTATTCAAGGCGGGTCAAACATTACCATTGATACAAATAATGAGCTATTTACGGCTTCTCAAGAATTCATGCATCACTACTTTTGGCACATTCAAAAAAGATGTTTTATTTTTAAATTTGAACTGCAAAACTTTAGGCTGATAACTTAAAGTCTTACATTGAAAACAAAATGGACTGGTTTAATCTCCTTTGCATACTAAATACGGCAATAACCTCGAGAACATGAGACTCGCCGTCTAATAAGCTCACAGGTGAAATACAAAACAAGTATCATATTATTATGAGCATGAATCGTATACATAGGATTTGACTGACGCTTCAGCAGACAGTTATTATAGCTGTAAGATTTCCCTTTGCCATTAAAAGTTTGCTCTAAGAATCGACTCCGGCTGAAGCTCCAATATCTTTTTAAGTATCTTCTTAACTTTTCTGCCCTTCTGAGGGTTCCCACGCTTGGAACGGTGTAACAGTATTGCGGAAGTGAAAAGAAGTTCTCATTTGAGGTGGCGATGATCTCACTCTGTTGTTAAATGCAATCAATAACATTACTAAACACATGCTCACCTCCAGCGCCCGCAGGGAGGTTTGGACAGCGTACCATGGCCAAGCGCTGAGAGCCCCTTGATGAAGGACGAAGTCAAAAGCTGAGAAGACTTGAATTCCAATGAAAAGACCATTCAGCATTGCTAGGGTGAACACAAACATTTTAAGTCTTAAAAGTCCTGTATCACCATATACACTTGCTGCCGAGTTGCAGGATAATTTACAGCCTACGCAGCAATAACCAACGGTCAAAATGATGCCAAAAATGACGAAATAAATATGACAAATTATCAGAAGTGAGATGAACTTCTTGGCGAGTAAGAAGACGATATCTACTCCCAATACTACAATTATATTGCAAGCCATGATTCCCAGCGCCGTGGATAATTTCTGAAATCGTGGAGGGGCGATCTCCATACTGGTTGCCTCCCCAAATACCAAGAGCAAAAGACCAAGGGCCGTGAGGACACACGGGAAGCCTAATGACCACGTGACATACGAACTGTAGAGGTCCAAAATTCCTCGTGAGTTGTAAGGATCGACGAGCAGCATGATACCACGTGAGGCACCCAGAAATAAAAATGTCAGAAACAAAGTCAGTTTGAGTCCCTTGATTCCTTGATTTCTGAAGAGATCATCAGCAAGTCCATAGCCAGAAGCTATTGTGATTAAGATGTAAAGAACTGCAAACACATATACATGTAGGTCCCAGGCTTTTCCCCAGGCCTGAATCGCAGTTGGCCACTCAGGCCCAGGCTCTGGGTTACCCTTTTGGCTCATTTCCAGCTCCAGCTCGACCAAGTCTTCCGCAAAGGGTTTAACTGAGGACACGACTGAGGGCTCGGTTATAGTGCGAGTAATTATCTGACGCCGAATTCTGAGAGATTTTTCATGACTGGCCATAAAATCATATCCAGCACTTCTTATTGTGATGGTGGTCAACGTTTTAAGGTCGTCTTCTCTATTCGAAACTACGGAGAAAAACCCAGGACCTTTATCTGTTTGTTTCGTTAGAGGTTTACGTGGAGGCCAAAGATAATTTCCAGGCAGCTTAGCCGGAGTTTGCAATTTATGGTCGCTTTGAAAATTCCACGGCATACAAACAGTAATTGAGTGCTCATTGCAGATGATTATCAAAAGCAATAACGTGGTTTTCATGCAGTCGAATATCCTCGCCATGATGATTCCGACGGGAGTTCGGCTATTGTAAAATAGAAAACAATTTATTAGTAATTGGATACCCTTTAATTGAAAGTTTACTCAAAAGAACCTGCAACTGGATTTTACATGGTCGGTTGTGAGTTTAGCTTTCTTCCTCTAACTTTACATTTGATGTCCTTAGTTTTATCTTAAAATGGTTGCGAGAAACATATCCTCTATCCTCGTTCACTAAGATTTTCATGGCAACAGTTGTCCCGTCTATAGGTCTTATGTCATCAGTTTCTCGTTTGATGGTAAGCTTTCTCAGCTTCACATGACATTTTCCCTCTCTGTGTTTGTTCAGCTTGTCAAACCCAGGCAGATGATAAAACAAATCATTTGTTCTGATGCTTTTAATTTCGACATTTGCTATCAGCGTCACAACTGTCTTATCCTTTTAATCGATCCTTGTTCCAGTTTTCTAAATTAATTTGCAGTTTACCTCGTTTCTAAATTTCCAACGTAGCAAGTTGTCTTGAATCAAAAGGTTTTTTCGATAGAAAAAACTGAGTTAACAACGACTCAAACGTAACCCAAGACGACAACACATCAAATATTATGGGTTTGTGATTAGAAGTATTATATACAGTTGGAAAAAAAAAAACAACAACAACAACTTAGACCGGCGAGGCCCAAGATCAACCCACAGGCAGACATGAATTAAATCATGGCACACTAAAATCTAAGAAGTGGGAGCTAACCTTTTGAGGACTGGTAAATCGAAGCTTTGCTCTGTTCCGCATAAATCTGGAAATGAACCGCTAGAAATGAACCGCTGCCTCGGCTCAACGTGAATGATTGCGCATGTGCGCACTACACGGAACCTTTCATTATCAGAGAAGTTTTTTTTAGTCACCAAAAATGCTGCATCACCATGGGCGGAGGCCAAATCAGAGCGGAGTAAAAAGAAATGGTCATATCATATCCACCAGATTTAATGTAACTGAGGCTTTCTTCAAATTCGTCTTTGACTGATAATAGACCCATGTTCAAGTGATGATTTAGGATAAGAATAGAAAATGTGGCAATGAATGACTTCCGCAGGTAATCAAACTGAATTATCTGTGTAAAACTGCTTTTTGCTAAATCTTCGTTTTGGATTCCAAGATGGTTAACTTTTTTATATTTTTCCGTATCTGAAAATGGATTACGCGGTTTTTTTCCATGAATTTTATTTGCATAAAGAGCGATGACAGTTTCAGACATTTTCAATGCAGTACTGATGTATTTGCCTCTTGGTGAAAATGAGCTGGCTACGTTAGCTGGACGAGGTAGCTAAATGGAATTGCGCTCATCTGTCCTCTGTTTGTACTTTCGTGTCAAGGACGTACTTGAGTTATATCATGTTCCCCCGAACGGTGTGAGATTAAAAGCTTCCGAAATATCGCCAATTTATTGCATTTAAATGGGTCTGAAATAAATTTATGTGCAGACAGACAAGCTCTAAGGCGATTCAACTACTTTAAATTTGATCAGTCATTTTCTGTTTGACTGTGTGGACATGAAATTTCTAAAATGTCGCTTACAGATCATGAACCCCCTTAAAAAATGTACTAACAGGGCAACAGAACTCTTTCGCCAAAATTTTGTTCAAATGCTGAACTAATTATTGTTACCATTTTTTTAATTTTCCTTCTTTGTTTGTATGTTTGTTTGTTTTTATATATATATATTTCTATAAGTACGGTCCATGTAAGATCAATGGATTTGTCGAAAGGTAACTTCTAAAGAGTTTATGAGTGTAAAATAAGTCTTACCTGATTAGACTGGAACTACATCTGACTTAATCTTGTCTCGACTCGTTTCGGTTGTATTTGGGTTAGTGCGTGCAATTTGCCCAAGGCAGGCGGTATTAATATTACACCAGCGCCAGCTGCATTTTCCTTTAGAAAATCCAACCTTTTGTGCCCTAGACCGCCCGTACAAAAGACAATTCGGGCTTATTCTTCATAAAAGTTGCACGAAAATTAAGAAAATAAAAACAAAAAAAAAAAAACTCAAGCTTTTCAATTCAAGCGTAAGACTGCTTTCAAGCACCTTATGCTCAACGTCTTTTTAAATCTTTATTTTCGTTTTCTTTTTTTTTCCTTTAAATACAATTCAGCATCAGGTGGACAGGGTTTTTCTAAATTTATTGTAAGGTAGGTAATTTCTTGCTAGCTGTATTCCCAGTAAAGCTTGGCCTTTTCATTTTCATAAAAATTCAGAATTCACATTCTTTGGAAATATCAAGGCAAAGTACAAAGCAAAGCAAAGCAAAGTAAGCATAAATAAGATAAAACAAAGTTAAAAATGAACTTTAGTGGCAGTTTGAACTTTAATGTTACTTGTGTTGGAAACAATTCTATCATTGACGTCAGTTTGCTGTTTTTTTTTTAACGTGTTAGTCTTGTGCCTAATTGCACGAAATTTTGCGTGTTACGCTCTAAGAGAGAGAGAGATAGATAGAGAAAGAGGGAGAGAGAAAAAAAGAGAGAGGGCATACCTAATACCCTTAGAAATTTCTTTTGCGATGACGATAGGACCAAGAAAAATAAATTTCATCCATAATGAATCTCCGGTAACTCATATCTCCTCAACTGGAATTGTATTGAATGATGTGCGAGCTGCACAAAAGCATTGTCTCATATCTCCTCAACTGGAATTGTATTGAATGATGTGCGAGCTGCACAAAAGCATTGTCATTGATGAACTCTGTGGGATAAAGGTATTTATACAAGATGGTAATTTGGTGTTATCAGTTGAGTTGGTAATGTAAATCGGCCACCATAAAGAGTTTTTCAATTCAGTTTTTAAAACCACATTATCTATGTAATACCCCCTCCGACGTAGCAACACAGTTTTTTGTAGAAACCTAACCCCTTTACATAGAATGATGTCTGTCTCGATTCGGTTTAGCGAGAAAAACTGAGTAGATTTTATTGAGTTATCATGAGACGATAGCCTCGTGAAGGAAAACTTACAACCTGTGATAGCCCATCGGTAAAATGGTTTTTCATTATAAAGACTTTTGTTCTAAGATTTGTGTCAGTCTGGCTTAAATAAAAGCGGAAATGTCGTAAAAGCTTTCACGCCGAACGTCACTCTAAAAATTTTTAGTTTTCTATTTATTGAAGAGGCCAGAGCATAAGTTACGGTTGACGTGCAGAACGAGGGAGTTGGAATCAGTTTTAGCCTCTTAACGGAAAAATGATGAACCATTTGATGCCCGTGACCTGGCTGGAAAAAAAAGGAACGAGTCTATTGTTGGCTTTGTTACCTTGGCCGCACATTCCTTTATCGGTTGAAAACCGCGCATCCCTTTGTCAGTTTAGCTATACCTCTCGCTGAACCTTTCTGATGGTTAACTTTACGGCTTCATCGACTGAGTTGATAATGTAAATTGGCCACCGTAAAGGGTTTCTAAGACTAACGTTTCGAGCGTCAGCCCTTCATTCCTTACATCTGGGCAGTTCCAAGAGCCGCAAATTCTTGAACAAAAATTCACCTTTAAAATCGGCACTCTTGGTTGCCACGGTATCAACGAATGAACGAACGCTTTTGATTCAAATAAATTGTTCTTGTGTTTTCCATGTCACCATGTTCTTACCAGTAGTCTAGTTCCACATTCCTGTATAAAAACCACACACAACTCATAATTCCTCCATTCGCTTTGACGCTCAAAATGTCAGCTTTAGTAACTCTTTCCTGTGGCCAGTTTACATTATCAGTTGATAAAACCAAATTATCCTACAGTAACTTCCCTGACATAGCACCACAGTTTCTTTAGAAACTTAACCCCTTTATGCTTTATTTTAAAGATGCCTAGTGACTGTATCAGACCCTATAAGTAAACAAATACTCTGATTAGCTTTAAACTCTAGTCGTGTATTTTCAACCAAATTTTGTCCAAGAGACACTTGTTTACAAGAAATGATTTTTGCCCTCGCGAGTCGATTTTCAATGATCCCACTTGGAATAGAATTTTTTATTTTTACGATACGAAACTCTTTTTCGTTTCTAAGTAAGCACCTGCACCACAGGGGAAATTCAGTTCCTCTACAGCTTGAGGGAAGACGTGCGCTTGAGCACACAATTCTGTTTGTACTGTGGGCGATATGCGGGCCTATTTTTCTTTTCTCCTTAGTAGCCAGGCATTCACAGTAATTGGATTGGTTACTAAGCAATATGAAGACCTCAGTTTTTCAAATCCATCACGAGTTTTCATTACATGCTGAATCGAGATAACATAAACATTCCCGCGTCTCTCAAAGGATACTTTTTGGAGATTCTAATAACTGAAAGAAATGCATTCGTCTTCCTTTCTTGTTGGTACCTCACGACAAGGAAGAGCAGTAATATCGATTTAAAGGTTCATCCACGTCACTGCTAACTGTGAATCACTCACGTTGGTTTCTTTCATGGCCAAAAAGCTGTTTGGTTTCCAGCAGTTAAGGCGAGCTTTCAGAAATCTTAGTTATATTTTGTTGATGTACATATCCTCCATCAGCTTAACATTTTATAACAAATGGCTATTGAAGGTTGGTAGTTTTCCTATGCATATGTGAAGTCTTTGATTTACCTTGCTTTAAACCTTTCATTCTCAATATCAGAAAGCTAATTCTCCTAAGCTATGACTATAAATTACTTTTTTGGCTGGTACTGAAAATTTATTGTGATATCAAGACAAATATCCCTTTTGTTGAAAATTTTCTTCGTTTTCATTACCTGTCTGGAAAATATTGTTTGAAAATTGTATGGAGATTTTACTTATTGATTACTGCAGGAAGTGAAAGGATTAAGATATGATATTATGTACTTATTGACTGAGTGGTAAGGCTGCATGGGAAAATATTTGGCTTGAGGTCATGATATACAGACCAGGGGGAGTGAGGTCCTTGTGTGATGAGTCAAATGTTTTCCTGTCTGACCCAACCAAACTCAGTTAATGAGCATATATCAGATAAGCACTAAGTGTTGAAAATTTCAAAACTTTTATTTTAGCCTAAAGACAGTAAAAACCTGCATAAAAGAACAAGTGCATTTAAGAACATTCAGGCTGAAATTTGTTCAAAAAAGTACCAAATACACAAGAATACATTCAGCCTGAAAAATGATCCCTCTTTCCAGTGCTCTACCTTAGTAGAACATTGGAAAGAGGGATCATGGGGGAGCTGGTGCATTTTGAATTTACTCTTTTTTTTTGCTCTTTTCCTTCAATTTTGTGCAACAAAGCTGTGTGAGTGCAAGGCTGGCCAGGTTTTTCTGGACCTGCTTGAGTCAACCCTACATACATTAGCTTTCACCATGGTTTTCTATGAGATTGTGCACAAATGGGCCACACACATCAGATGATAATTATGCTTATCTCTAGCGGATGGAATGTGTGTGATTTGTACTTAATAACTCTTGTATTCTACTTAATATATAATATGCTCTCATCCTTTATTTCAGAGGTTTCACTTTCCTTTGTCTGTGTCAGTGGTACACTATGCAATGGTATTTGTCATTGCGGCAATTTTGAGATTCCTTTGGGAATTAAAGACAGGGAAGACACGTATTATTTTACCCTGGTCTGTGTACTTAAAAAGAGTTCTACCCACAGGTGAGAGGGTGGAAAATCCTTTTAATTGTACTTAAGACTAGCTTATGACCCCAAATGTTTGCATCTTGTCTTCTAAGAATTGTTCTTCCTTTTTATATTCTGGTACCTTATGAGATATTTGAAGGTTCCTCAAAGAATTAACAACAGCTCTATAAAGTATAAGACTGATGTTCAAGTACTTAATTTTTAAAATGACCCTTAAAGAGGAAAAGTTTTGCAGCAGATCTTGCCATGTGTGAGTAATGTAGCTCATTGTCTTGGTGTATAAAGTAACATGTTTTCTAGTTAATTAGGTAAACTTTCCAACAGATTACAGTTCCATGTAGGTGAAAAGGAGATTGCTGATAGCCCTTAACTCTGATTTTATTTGATTTCCTCTTTTTCTAGCAATAGCTTGTGCTCTGGACATTGGGTTTTCTAACTGGAGCTTAATGTTCATCACAGTGTCATTGTAGGTATTTTCTCATGGAATGAATCATTTATTAGTGGAGGATATTAAATGTTCACATTGGGAGAGTTTTTTTCAAATGTCATGGGTACCTTTTACTTGAGTAAGTGGAATGAATGAAAGAAAAGCTGAATTTTATACCATTGGTACACAAAGACTGGTTTGTTTTCCCAAGTAGCCAATTTGTAATGTTCTGAAACATCATGAAAAGCAAAAAAGTTACAGTTCAGGTGGTTTTAATTTTGTATTTTCACTGGTCATGAAAATTAAAAACACTTGATCTGGTATCCCCCCCCCCCCCCCCCCCCCTTAGTTTCCTCTCCCGCTATTCTGTGACATACTCATGAAGATGTAACAAAATCATGAAACAATTGAGGTACAAGATGTAATTTGAAAACTCTTTCCAAGTCCTGACTAAATGCAATAATCACCTGCATGTAAAATTCACTTGCAGAGGTGTTATTTCATTTTCCTAACAAGGACAAAGCAGTTTCAATTTTGGGAAAGATTGTTTCTTATACAGTAAAGAGGAATTTTCCCTAGTTATTTTTGGTCAAAGAAAAAGCCCCTCACAAAGACTCAAATGCCATTGATCAATTTATCAGATGCAATTAATTCGTTTATTGAAATTGTTTTACCTTATGAACATGAACACCATGACATATCCTGTGATGAATTGCATTGAGATTCTGGCACCTTCTGTAAATATGACGGTTACAAATGAGACACTAAGTTTTGCTTGTAAACAGTTCTGCTTAAATCCCCAATTTTGTCCACCCTTTATCTCCCTGAGTGACCAAGACAGAATTTCTCCTTACATTATCAACACGATATCAAGCAGACAAGTGATGAGAATTTTAAAAAAAGGCCAATTAGGATATCATTAGTTGATCCAATAGCAAATTCTCAAAACTGACAATAATTTTATGGCAGGTAGTAAGGAGAATTACAAATGAGATCTTAGGAGTGAAAGGGTTAATTTGACAAATTGAGATACAGAACATAACTGATTCAGATTCAGTAATGATTCAGATTTATCCTCTAATTTGCACGATTTTAATAAATAGAGATAACCAAGTAATCTTCCCTTGTTTATTTCAGATACACCATGACTAAATCTACAAGCATTATTTTCATCCTCATGTTTGCTCTTGTTCTCAGATTAGAGCATTGGGTAAGTAATAAAATGTATCCCAGTGTAGTTTGTGTACATGTAGAGTTTAAAAATCTGATTGGTGAGATCAAGCAACCAAGCATTTCCCCCCTCCCCCCTTCAAAAAAAGATGATGTCACTCACCCACTCTTTGCTTTGTTGGGACAGACTAATAGCTTGTGACAAGTTTGACAGGATTTTGCTCTGTTTGTATCAGATTTTGAGATATTTCTTTAGGTATTTTTCATAAAAACAATTTTAACATAAGTCAACTATCTACATGTGCTATTTTAAACCAAGCATGTGATCTTAGACTGTTTTGAAATAGCTATAATTGCAAATGATATAGAACACTGAAAACAATACTGAGTGTGTAGATTTTCACAGCAGATAATTTTTAACCCAGTAACCATTAGGTTGTTCTTCTTTGTGTATTTGACAGAACTTTTCATTGGTGGCTGTAATCCTGTTAATTGCGAGTGGCTTGTTTTTATTCACTTATGAGGCTACTGAATTCAATATGGAGGGATTTCTCTTGGTAAGTTAATAACAAAAACAAAAATATATATTTTTTTAAATGGTGTTTTTCAATTCTTCAGTGATAGAAATTGTTTAGTTTATCTATGGTTATCAGTTGTGTTTGAATTTCTGTCATAATTTTCAATTTTAATTAAATGACGCTGACATGAAAGGTTAGTGTTCAAGATGGATCTAATATTTTATTATGGTGTATTTCATCCTCAAGGTGTTAACTGCTTCAGCACTGAGTGGCTTACGATGGACACTTGCGCAGATTTTAACACAGAAAGAAGATTTAGGTGTGGTTCTTGTTAACATGAGTAATAGTGATAACTGAAATATTAAAATTGAGTACTTAAAGAAACATTTATTTATCTTCAACAGTTGTGGATTCAAAACATTAATAACAGTACTGTACACAAAACATATACCCTAAGAGCTAAGGTCTTACTACATGTACATTGCTCTTGTGTTTCTATCCTTTTGTAGGTCTTCACAACCCCCTTGATACACTTTATCATCTCCAACCTTTTATGACATTAACTCTGATTCCCCTGGCATTTTACATAGAGGGTAAGTCAATCAACTAAAAATACATTGTCTTATTGTTGAAATTTCATTAATAAT